CCTCTTTCTGTGTGAACACTGGCTGCAGTTCAACCTAAAAACTCTCTTAATTCTTGTCACGTGACCGTTGGTCACAGCTGAGTCACTCAGAGAGTTAAATATCTTACGGTTCTTAGTTTTTTTGGTGTTTAATGGTGTTGTTCTGGTGATTTTAAAAGATCAACCTGCCAGCAGGTTTCGGGGTTCTGAGGTGTATTCGTCCTAAATTGCAGCCTTTGCGTTTTACTAATTGCACTGTTTCACATTTGGGTTTGGAGCTGATTAATTATTCAGTCCTGTAACGTAGAGACAGGTTTGTATGTGACAGTTATCCTCACGTTGCCAGAACATTTTAACCACAGACGCCTCTTTGATCGACGTCTGCTGATTGAGTTAAAACTCGCCTGTACAGGTGCTGAGTGATTAAATTCCTGCTGTGTTCATAATAACTTCCCCCAGAATCTCCCTCATTCCTGTTTATTTTCCTCTCACAGTCGTAGCTCTGAGCTGTTTGTCTTCACCTGTTTGTCGCTGAGCGTCCTCATGCTCTGAAACAGGCAGTAAAAGGTGAAACCAGTCCTGGACGTGTTTGGCTACATGTGGCCTCCCCGAACACACAGACGTGTTCAAACTCTCACAACATGTGCGCTGACTGGTCCAAAATGTGAAAACCACATTTTTAAAGCCACGATGGAAACAGAGCAACATGCGGAGGCCTCAGAGGTGGAAACTGTCGAGTGTGATTTCCTCCCGGAAAGTAAAAAACTGACGATCACACATGAAACCCGGCTGTTTAAGAGGAAACTGGTCTGATTCCAGTCTGCTAATCCTGACCAGTTTATCATGTACACTGTAAAAAAATAAAAACTGTGAATGAACGATTGACCCATTGAGATAGATCTAAAAATCTGTAAAATATTTCTTGCTGGTTTAAATACAGTGAGAAAAAATAAATTAAGTTTTCATTGGAATGTTGTTAAAATCTGGATTTTTTTTAATTTTTTTCTGTAGACCTTTTTTTTTAGTTTTAGCCTCTTTTTTTTTTTTTTAACCGTTAACTTGATTTTACTGGGTATTAACGAAGTGATTCAACAAAATATGTAAAACTACAGTCAGCTTTTTTTTTTTAAGTAGTTAAAATTTTTTACAGTGTACATTTTATACTGATTGAGTGAAGCCTGTCGTTTTCTCTCTGCTGCCTCCACATGCTGCTGTGTGGCGCCTCACATGTTGTGCTTCTACCTGGATCCATGCAGACGGGGCAGCACTGGCCGGCCGGCGTGAAGGGGAACAGGCAGCCGACAGGCGGGCAGGTGAGCTCGTCACAGACCACCTGGCCGCCGCTGCACAGGCAGGTGACGCAGGGCTTCGGAGACCAGACGGCCTGGTCGAACATGGTCAGACCCTGGTACGAGCACTGACCCTGCTTACCTGCAACAACGACAACAACAACACAGTCAGTTAAACATCAACCAGACACGTTAGACTGAAAGGTAAAAGTTTTAGTTTAGTTTAAACGTTTAACGACAATCTGCTCGACCCTCTGAACCATGAAGCAGGTTGGAAGTGGAAGTTCACCAAATAAAACAATGTATCAGCCAGAAACTGTAAAAACAGCAATAATGGGCACATGTTCAACTTTCCCACGGTCCTTGAAGTACTCATTTGGGACCTGCAGTTCAATCAGTAGAACATTTCATTAAAATCACTTCATTCTACTTTTAACAAAAGATGGCAAAAATGAATAATCTGGACCATATGGACACATGCTACTGTATGAAACTCAACCAGGTTCAAGTTTTTCTCTCTGCAGCTACTTGTCGACTTCACATTTTATTATAGATTCAAGGAGTAATCTTCAACCATCTGAACCCCAAAACCTGCCAGTGGGGCTTTAAAGCCACATTATATTCAAAAAAAAAGGGGGGAAAAAAGCACCAAAGTTACACCATTTATTCGCCACAAACAGAAACAATCATCAGATTTTCAACCTTCTGACGGTCCTTGAACTTCTCATCAGAAAACACGATCAACTCCGAGCCTAAGTTCTTCATATTTCATCAGAATCATTTTCATTCTACCAGAACAACCCGTTTGCTTTAACCAGAGTCTGTGAAAAACAAGAAATGATGTAATTACATCCTCTGGTCGACCACGAACACCAGCAGCAGCCGCCGCTGCCATAAATCCACCTTCAAACCTCGGAGACGTTCCACACTCTGCAATTAGAAAACTTTACCATCAACTGATTTGTTCTAAATTTATTGAGTTATTTCAGGAGGTTATTGATCCTGATTTAAGGATTGTGTTGCATGTTTTTGTCTGCTGCTCTTTTAATTAAGGCGCCAGTTTTACCAAAAGCAGTTTTGGGTGGATTATGGTTTTATGACCTTAAACAATCCCAACAAACCGCCGACTTATCGGACTAAGTTTAACCCTCTGAACTCTGAAACCTGCTGCCAGCTTTGACAGGAAAGTTATCTCTGTAAGAAAGTGCCAAAAGTACACTATTTGTCAGATCCAGGAACTGTACAAACACAGAGAATTAGTGGATCCTCAACTGTCCGATGCTCCTTGAACTACTCATCTGTCAGGAGTCTTAATATTTAATCTGAATCACTTTATTCTACTGGGATGTTTTAATTTTAATTATTTGTTTTGCTCAAATCAGCTTCTGTACAAAACAACATAACTAAACACTCAACTCGTGACAAAAAATGTTTTAGTTCCGATTAACTACAGGCAGTGTTCAGACAGAGCTGAGACATAAAGGGACTAATTAGAACTGTAAGTAGTAAATCATCTTTAGTACGTAGAGCCTCTGATGTTCTCCAGTCTTGTTGCCACCAATGGACACTTATTGTTGGACATTTTACATTTTTGTAAAACAATTTTGTTAAAAACCGTCATGGTTGTTGTGTTTCCATTGAGCTGCAGGACTTTGTTTGAAAAATGAGCCAGAGTGAGTAAAAATGTGACCAAATTAAAAAACGCCCAGAAGCTGCTGGTAGGAGTTCAGAGGGTTTTGGACCTTCATGTATTTCCACAGTGAACAGGAACCGTCTCTTTGTAGCCGACTGAGTGATGCTGCCGCCGTAAAGCTGTCACATGGGCACACGACCAGGTTTCTGGTTTCCTGCACCACAGCTGAGCACATGTAGAAGGTTGAGTTTAGGCCAGTAAACACAGTAACGGAGCAACGTGACCGGCAGTACATTATCTTTAAACCTCATTATCTTTTATCGATACCATGATCTCTGATTTATACTAAAATATGTTACTGATACATTATCTGTGAAGGATACATTGTGTCTGATTGATACTAATGTATCTTATTGATACATTATCTCTGATTATTACCATTGTCTTGATTATTACCAATATCTTAGATTGATGCTCATTAACGCTTCTTGTTACATTATTTGTAATTGATACCCATTATCTCTTACTGATACATTATCTCTGATTAATACCTATTATTTCTGATTGATACGTTATCTTTGATCGAGACCACTATCTCTGACTGATATCCATTTTCTGTGATTAATACTAAAATCTCTGCTACTTTATCTCTGACTGATAATATTATTGATGCATAATGTATGATTGTTACTAATTATTTCATTGATACATTATCCGTGATGGATAGTAATTATCTTGTATTGATACGTTATCTCTGATTGATACTAATGATCTCTTATTGATACATTGTCTCTTATAAATACTAGTATATCTTATTGACATGACGTATAAATTATCCCTTGTTGATACATTCTCTCTTATTGATACATTATCTCTGGTTGATACTGATATATCTTATTGACACATTATCTGTGACGGATACATTATCTCTGGTTGGGGTTTCAGGTTTTATTGATCGAGCTAACACCAATAAAGCTGGATATATTGAACTTTCTTAGTGTTTCACCATCTGTGGCGCAAACAGCGACACTTATTGTCTGTTTGTGTTTGTTTTTCTGGCTCCAATAGAAGAAAATGTCGTATTTCTGCCAATGAAAGCTCAGTTTGACCTCGACAGTCGTCTTAAGGAGGAAACAGTTTGTCATTGAGGACAGACTGGACCGAACAGATCTGATGATTCAGAAGCAGCTCCAGCCTCCGTCCTGCTGAGTGTAGAGTCTGGTCCGACCTGAAGCCTGTGTTTTAGACAAAGCAGGGGTTTGTAGCGTTTCCACTCCTCCCTCTGCATTAAGTTCACCTTTCAACACGAGCCCCGGGACAAGACGAGGCTTCGACTGGCAGTGAGTCAGTAGGAAAGACTGTAAACCACCGTGAGGCAGCAGCAGGAGGCTCTTTGAGTCTATTGTGAGTCTGTCATCTCTGCTTTCTAATGGTAGCTCCATAGGAACACAGGTAGTTAGGAGGCTCAGGCTATTCCTCTAAACACCGTCTCTCTATTGTTTCTGTCGCCCTGTCATCTCTACCGGAGCACACATACTTTAGAGCTTTTCTTTTCTCTTTAAAATATTGTCCCGCTCTCGTAGAATCTCTTTGCTGCCCGTTAAATTGCAGGGTTTTGTTTAAATGACACGGTAACCGTCAGACTGAGCTGCAGCACCTTCATTCATGTGTTTGGATGATAAATTGGCCTCAGTGCTGGATGACGCTGCCAAGAACCGACATAGTGATATGATAAAAATGCAGGAATTTCCAGCAGATGGCTTGAAAAATTCTGTTTGGAGAGAACTATTCATTCTGGAGGGATTTGAGTGGTGTTTTTTCAGGGAGTGCATCTGCAGAGAAAATGAGAAACGATTCCTTAAAAATGCTGTTTAGAACGTCTCATGTGGTCTGACGCTGGCAACGCATCCGAAAAATAGTTTATTTGCTTTGGATGATTTTCAGATCTGACTCTGCAGAGTTTAGCGTTGCTCGTTTATACGGTCGAACAAATGTTGTTTTGTTTGGTGGCAACAACTGCAGCCTGAGGACCTGCTTTCGGTTCCTTTTTGGTGAAATGTTTCCACACAAGTGACGAAGCTTTTCTTTTCAAAACTCAGTGTATCCAAGAAGCCTTAAATCAGACTAAATGATGTTCTATCAGACTTTTTCTGTGCAGCTCAGTGATGGAAAACGAGATTTCTTTTTGTCTTAAACAATCAAAACTGACTGCTGCTTTAATGAGTTGATCATTTTTCAGCCAAAAACATTATTCTTTGTTTCCAGCCTTTCCACTGAGAATTTGTTGAGAGTTTGTTTTTTTGTATGATGAAAAATTTAATATCTTTGGTACCAAGATTGCCTCTTCTCATCTTGCTCGATTAGATAATGTCACCTAAAAGTAAATCCAATGTATGTACATCATATTATGAAACACAAACTATTGTCTTAATTTAAAAAAACTTTTCAGATTTAGCATTCAAACATGTACAGTTTAAAAAAAAATTAAAAATCAAAGTTGCTATTTGTAAAAACAGATTATTTATAGTTTTGTCAATGTTTTTTGTTTGTTTGTTTTGTTGCATGTTAATTTTTGCAGTTAACATGTGAATTACTACTTTTTCTGTGGTTTTGTAGTACCTAGTTGTTCCACCAGGTGGCGCTTTGTACTGTTTAAGACTGTACAGACCAGAGGAGGCGTCATTCGGACTACAGGCGGTTCATGTTAACAAGCAGAGAGCATTGTGAGAGTTTAGCTAGCAACGGGCAAATAACAAAAACGTCTGTAATGCTTCGTGGCTTCGTATATTCGTACATCGAGTAGGACGGCAAACCTACAGCGAAGCGATAGATTATAACCAACTCACTTTTGCGGCCAATGTCTTGTGTCTGTGGTAATAATTATGTTGACTGTATGTTTGTTTTAACGATTAAATGACCACTGATTGATAAAGCTGCCAGCTATCGATTAAGAAAATTAGGTATAAGTATATTTAAGTACATTTAACTGTCTATTTTTGATATTCACCAAGTAACATTAAAATAAACTGTAAATAACCATAAAAAGACAGTTATAAGAAGTAATAAAGTAAGTTAAATAAATATTACCCTTTTATTTAATAGATTAAACTGTTCGATTCAAATCAAATACTGAAGATTACATACAATTAGTGATGATTGACAGAAAAACGAGTGTTGGTTCTGTCATTTTACATATATTTGTTTGTTTAATGAGAGATATCTTGTACACTTAGACAAGTTTTCTTAACAAAAATGTTGTACACACTCATCTAGACATGTATTTTGGTTATTATTAATATATTCAATGGGATTTCATTGTTTTTACACATGTAGCTGAACTTAGAATATAAAAAGAAAAGTATCTCGTGTCAGAATAATGCAAGGAAAAGTATTTAGATTATGGACAGTTACTGTATATTTGTGTAGTGGTTGTTTTCTGTAATTCACAGTATGTCTTGCGCCCCAGCTGCTGGGATATTAACATTTTTACAGTGTTTTTTTACGACAGCCACAGATGTAGTCTATCTAGTCTTTCTACTGTAACTTTTAAACTTTTAAAGACATATTTGTTTCTGTAAACTACATTCTGTTTGTTTCTGACATTACAGTCAGTTGAACATGTTCCTACATCCTAAACAACAACGAAACCAGAATATTAACACACAAAAAAATTCCCTGCAGCTCAAAAACAGACTTCCACCACGGCTTCCCTTCTAATTACATAATGCAGACTTTAATGTGTTGAAGTGAAGGGCTTCCACATGGCTCTGAGGTTTTCATTGTCCTCATCGCTCTCTCCGACCAGCTCTCTTCCCACATGTTTTTCCGTTTTGCTCATTTTGGAATGCGATGATTTGTCATTAAATTACGGCGCTGTAATAACAGGAAGCGTCGTAACGAGCTGCTCTCCGACTGCGACTCGTTTTTAAATTCAGTCTCAGATTGGGTTTTATTGACCAGAAAGCTCTCAGGATGAAGCACCACTACCTAAAAATGCCAGTCGCAAAAATAGACGCTGATTATTTCCACGTTGGTTCACATGTAAACATACAAACACTGACGCAAATAACTGGTTTAATTGGTTTTGAACTGCAGTTGCAGGGCTGTTTAAGTTTAAACATGTATGTTGTTTATTTCTGAACTGGCTTTTGAAGGGTTATTTTTAAGTTTATCACCGTTTTTATATGAAAACTTGGCAAAGATTAGAACATGAACATTATAAGGTTGTTTATTCTTGTACGTATATAGTTTTATTGTTAAAATATCCACTTTAGTTTCAGAATTTCACACCTATTAGTCTTAATGTCTCAATAAAGTCTGTGTCAGTCTTCTAACCAACCTCAGTTAAAGCTGTGACTGGTTTACTAAACCTTGGTTTGGACTGTCAGTGGTTTAATCAACCTCAGTTAAGAGTTACTGGTCTAATTAAACTCACTTAAAGCTGAGTTACTGGTTTACTCAACACTGGTGAAGGCTGTTACTGGTTTATTTGATCCTAATTAAGGTTCTTTCTGGTCTATTACTATTGTTAGTGAAGACAGTTACTGGGTTAGTCAACTTTGGTAAAAGTTTTTCTAATCAACCTCAGTTACTGGTTTGTTCAGCTTTGGTTTAGACTTACTGGTGTAACTGACTTCGGTTAAGGCTGTTACTGGTCTAATCAACCTTAGTTAGAGCTAAGTTACTGGTATACCCAACCTCATTTAGGGCTGGTACTGGTTTACGTGACCTCGGATAAGGCATTTACTGGTTTAGTCAACTTTGGTTATGACTGATTTAGTGGTCTAATCGATCTTGGTCACGGCTGAGTTACTGGTTTACTGGACTTTGGTTTAGGCTGAGTTACTTTTCTAATCAACCCTGGTTAAGGCTGTTACTGGTTGACTAAACCTCGATTCAGGCTGAGTTACTAGTTTCTCAATCTTGGTTGAGTTACAGGTTTACTGGACTTGGGTTAAGGGTGTTACTGTGTCATTCTACCTCAGGAGATGCTGTTTCTGGTTTATTTGACCTCAGTTGGGGCTGATACTGGTTTATTTGGTATTGGTTGAGGTTGTGACTAGTTCACCCTGGTTAAAGCTTAGGTACTGGTCTCACTGACCTGGGATGACGTTGTAGCTGGCGTGCTGTTCTTCGAAGTTCCTTAAAGGTTGTAGAAACAGAGCATTTCCTCGGTTTTCTGCTGGTTCCACTGGGATGCCTGGACCAGGAACCAGTCTGATCTTCAGAGGTCTAGAGCGCCCGGCTCTGGTTCGTCCGTGACCTGCAACCGATGATTGGACTGATAGTTATCTCTGTCCGTACAGAAGCTTGGTAGTTTACAGTTAGTTTTGGCTAAAATGGCCAACTTTTTTGCATAAAAACATTTTTTTTAAATTTCCCTGATTCCAATGTTTACATATAGTTTTTTTTTTTTTTTAAAACAATGTCCCAAGATGCTGCCCTGTGGGACTCCCTATTTCATAGGTTGATCTGATGCATTCTTGTTGAGATGTTTTTACAGCAGAAAACCAGACTACACAGTGGATTGTGTATAACTAGGGAACAGAAGAGGATGTCGAGACAGAGCTGAAACACTGACTTCAGGACTTTTGAGATGATCCTTGCAGTTATTCATCAGCACAGTTCCAATGTTAGTTGCTGCTAAAACCACAATATGAGTCATTCCATATAGAATCCACCAAATCTGAAAGAAATTCCCCAATGACTACCGTATCATATCATAGTATCAGCTGTTTTTTATGTACACTAACTTCAGTATATTCAGTGAAGCCATGCAACATTTAACCTTATTACTATGATTATTTTCAAAGTTACAGGCCCTTGAGGTGCATAGAGGTGGGTCTAAATTTCACACTTTGAATTTTTGAGTCTCATAACATCATAGGTGCAGCAGTTAGACAGATTTTTTTCTATTAACAACAAGAACATTTTTACCAAAACCAGATTTAGTCTCCAGATTGTGACACCTGGGTGGATGTAAAACTGATCAGGTTGCAGTTTTTAACAAAACTCAAATATGTTTTTCATCCACGAATATTTCATGTGTCTATCTGCTAAACTGTTGATGTTATGAGGCTCACAAATGATGCTTACATTTCTGTTTTTACATCTGTTCAGTGAACAAAATACAATCAGACAGCTTCGAAGTTATTGGAAGGTGCACTTTTTCACTTCTAATGAAACTAGACAAGCGTTTTCGCCCCGCTTAGACAACTCGACTGAACTCATCGTAGGTTTATCTCTGTACTGGTTACACAGTCTTGTCAGTTGACTGTTCAGGTTTCCCAGAATGAATGAACCAGAGTCCTACCGTATCCGTCCCTCTTCCTCTTCCCTCGTCGATTCCCACCGTCCTGGTTGCGAGTTCGATCCCCGGCTCGAACATCAGGGAGGGTCAGGACCACCAGCAGCCACAGACCGGCCACCACCAGCCACCACCTCATCCCTATAGGGCAGAGCAGACCAGGGCAGGGTCAGAGTCAGGTTCAGGTTTAAGTCCAGGTTCAGAGTCAGCTTCAGGTTCAGGTTTAGATTCAGGTTCACGTTGCCTTTACAAAACTTTTACGAGGGTTCAGGTATTAATAGGCGTCTTTTAATGCTGATGTTTCGAATACTGTCCAACTGACACTTTTCTATCAAACACATAAACATGTTTCCTATAAAACTATTTCAGTTAAAAGACGAAAAAGTTCTCAGATGTTAAATATGATCCAAATACAAGCAGCTGCACAAGAATCCTTCATTTATTCCTCTGCAGCTGATTAAAGGAGAAAAGACAACAAAAGGAAAAATGCTGTAATAACAGTTCATTCTCCCTTTAGCTTTGGATGCAGCTCACATTTTGAGAAACATTAAAGTGCCTGAAAGATCTACGTCTAATCATCATAATAATAAAGCTCTTTACAGGCAGGACAAGAAAACACATAAAACTCAGCAAAAACTTTGAACAGAACCCCGCTCGGTCTGAACATGATTCTCAGAGTAAATTACAACACCAGATAGAATAATAATGGAAATGGAGGCAACAACCATAAACACAAGGCTAGAAATGATAATAGTAAATAAGTAAATACATGGAGGGTAAAAGGGAACAAAATAAACAATGAAAGAAATAAAGACAATAAACATAATAATAGTGAAGAATAGAACTAGACGTGTGAACTCAAATGTCCAGAGTTTAAGTTTGGTGTTCGATCCCTTCTAAGAAAAATCAGAAAAGCTCTCATCTGAAAACATCTCCTTTAGTCTGAATCTGTAGAAACGTAAACCTGGACGTCCTGCAGAAAGCAGCCGCTAACTTAACTGAAGCCAAACAGTCCGCCTGCAGACCAGCACACAGCAGAAAGGTTTTTACCTGCAGCAGCGTCTCAGGAAAGGTGTGTTCGAGCCGCCGGCGGCCTCATATAGCCGCTGCAGGTCCTAATGGTCGGTTCCTCTGCGGGTGTAATGACTAGTCTGAGCTCGGCGTCCTGTCATTATTAACAGACGCCTCCACACACCTGATGTTTGTCTTCTGTCTGATTCCAGCACGCTCAGCCGCTTCTCAGCATCACACTCGATAACTGTAATAAATCTAAAACTCTCTGAGCATCGGCAGAGTCTCGAGGAACTCTGGAGGTGTGAAGACAAGTTCATCCTTATTTTTCTGTATGTTTTTAATACAGAAAACAGAAATAAAACTACCAAAGTAGACTGTCAGTTTACATGTCGAGGTAAAATAACATAACATATAAGAGCATACAAGATTTTTATGCATCTAAAAACTCTTAATATGTTTGTTGTTGTAATTCTAATCATAAATGAGCTCCTGTCCTGCAGGTTTAGACGTTTCCGTACTGCGGCACACCTGACTCACATTAATGGATCATTGACAGACTTGTGTAGAACTGGACAACAAGCTGCTGGAGATCCCTGCTTTAGAGACTGATCTTGTGTTTTTGGACAGATTGGGATCTCGTCTGACTTTCTGACAGATTTATGTGGACGATGACGTCAGACTCCTCATCTGCCTGAATTAAAATGTAAAAGTGTCTCCGTTTTATTTAGGAACTTAAAGTCATGTTTGGGACAAAACAAATATTCTGAGTAGTAATAAAAAGTTCAACATGGAGCCATAAACGGCAGAAACGTGTCTTTGAGGAGCCAATCTTGGAGGTTCTTCCAGTAGATTCTGCTGCAGGAGTTCCTTCATGAACCATTTTGAAGCTTCCTCCACAGTGGTGGAGCTGAGGAACCCTGGAGGTTCCTGGAGGCTGCTCTGGTTCTCAGAGTGTTGGGTGTCGGTTGCTGTTGCTGTTAAATCTTCTGGGCGTCTGCTCCGCCTCCAGATTGAGATGTTCTGTCGCTCCGAGGAAGCGAAAAACCTCTAACGGTTAATTTACTGCAGGCCTGGTTCTCGTTCTGTCGCTCTTCGGCAGATAAATTCTCAGCAGCTCTGCGGTCGACGAGATGAAGCATCGAGCTGCTGAGGAGCCGAAATCACATCGAGTTTATCTTCAGGGAACGTTTTTAATCCGTCGACCAACGAGATGCATGTGTTAGAGGACGGGCAGGAAACCAAAGTGTGCAAAAAGGAAACGGGATGAAAACTTCAATGAAAAAAAGTTTGTGAAAGCACGTCACAGATGAGAAGGAAAGTCGTTTTTTACATTTTATTTTGCACCTCTTAAACTGTGATCAATAGACGGAGATCAGTCTGAAGACATTTTTGTCTTTAAGGTCCTGAGTGGGATTTTTTTCTTTAAACCTTCCACTGCATAAAAAACTAATGATGCATCAGACACAAAGTTGTTGTTAATCATTGACAGGTTGTAATAGCCAAATAACTTGAGGGAAATTTTCTAAAAATAGTCCTTTTTTTCCATGTGTAACTGTGGCATCATGTAAACAAACATTTGAAGGGTTAAAATCCTGAAAATTAATCAATGTTTGGTCATTTTGATCTCGACTGATGTAGATTAAAATAAATAAGTCCCTCAAAGTAAAACATAATAATATTAATATTTAATGTGTTTTTGGACGTTTTGGTCTTTCAGGACTTTGGTGCAGCTTTTTAAATGAACACTGAAGCACAGATCTAGTTTCAGTCTTGTTCTGTTTCCTAAAATAAAACCCTGAGATAAAACATAAAGGTCATGAAGAACCGTCCTCTAAATAAGGACTTTTCTTCATTTGAGGGTGACGCTTTGAAGAATCTTGATTTTCCTGAGACTGGACCAGAAGATGAGCGTCGGCACTCGTAGCCTCACAGAACCTTCAGGGTTCCTCACCAACAGCACTGCTGGACAGATCTGTGAGCTTCCTTTTTGAATGATTATTAGTATTATTATTGTGGGATGTTTCACCCCTAAATATATATATATATTTTTTTTTTTAAACAGATTAAAATGAAACAGTATATTGTGGATGATACTTAACAGAATGAAGAGACTGTTTGTTTGTTTTGTTTTTTTATCCATTCAGGCAAACAGGAAGTCATTTATAAACTATTCTGTTTTGTCCAAACATACAAAACTAGTCTCTGAAACAGGCATCTCTTCCCAACACGTCATCAAATGCACGGTTGCAGGATAGAAATATGTAATTTATTGGTTTAGATAAGTTGCAAACATTGTTTTAGGTTTAGATTAAGTTCCTTGAGAACCCCTCAAGCATTCAGGGTTCCTTAAACATCCCCACAGTTACACCGAGTGAATGTAAAATATAATATGAATTTATTTAACAGCAGTATATTTATTATTGTGTTTATTATTATTAAGAATAATAAAGATGATGATTTGATTTAATTAATAATCTCTTAATTCTGCTCCCACATGTGGATCTATAAGTGCACAAACTGTAAAATCTAAAAAAGATAAAAGAAACAAAGAGCTGCTTAAAAATCAGCTCAACTAAAACAAACGTTAAAGTCACATCTAAAACGGTCCAGAAGCACGTTTTTAAATTCCAAATCAGAAAAAAAAAAAAAACTTTATCTGATCAGAAATATTAGAAAACAAACACAAAAGACTTAACTAACGATTAAAACACTAAAGCAGGACTAGTTCAGAGATTAGACTTGAAGAAATACTGCTTTTCATTTTAAAATATATTAATACGATTTAAATAACAAGCACAAAGATGTGATAAAACTTACACTGAGGCTTTCATGACTTTTTATTTTAATTAAATCTCTTAATTCGAATAAATCTAAAAAGTTAAACATCATTTGTGAACTTGGTTTCTATAAAACTGCAGCTTAACCATCAGATACAGTCACAGTGAGACGTTTGCAGCTGCTCAGTTCCTCCCACATGACCTCAGCCTCAGCCAATCAGAGTCCAAAGAGCCTCGACCAATCAGGGGCCAGAGAGCCCAGCGATAGAACAAGCAGCAGCAGGGAGACACATGGAAAATATCGAGGCTCAGTTTCTGGATGAACAGGCTCAGATGGAGAAACGTGGAGCAGCAGAGTTAAAAATAACCTGCAGCTCTGATGAAAGCCAGACGCACTTCAAACCTCTGCTGCTGCTTCAGAAGCTCGCTTCAGTTAGAAAAACACAACTTCACTTACACGACACTTTGCTCTCAGTAAAGGACGTCTGATGCTTCATCAGCTAGAAGAAGTTTGTTTCTAACTTCAAAATATGTTAAATTTACAAGATTTTCACATTAAATTATCTGTAAAGCTCATCTCACGCTGACATGACTAAATGTTATCTGCAGGTTCTTACAGTTTGAAGACAAATTTCAAGTTTGTTTGCATGAAAATGATATAATACAACCTTATCTGCAGTATTAGGCCTGATTTTAAAACATTATTCAACCATATTTATATTTTTACGTCCTTCGTTACATTTGACAGCATTAAATAAACACATATTATGTTCGATTAGGGCTTTTTTGTTATTTTACTGTAGCTTTTTGCACCCAGCTTGTGATATATGAAGGTTTATTAACTTTTTCACAGCTTGATTTTAAGAAGAAGTTCTTCTAAGTGGCTCTGCGTCTTCTCTAATCAGTCGTTTTGTCCATAAAATGTCATTAAAACGTGATAATCCCAGTTCCTGATATCTGCAAACATCAGTTTACATGTTAGATATAAAGTATTTATCCTCCTCCAATGTTTTCCCCCTTTTTTCTTTCATAACTTCTCAACACTTAGTCATGGTCAATTTAATTCAATTCAAGACTCTTTCATGTTGAAGTGAATAAAACCATTTCTACTGTGTAACTTCAATTAATTAAAAATATATTAAAATATATTACACACGTCCAAAAAATACTGTAAAGAATTTTAAAATAATTTCATTTAGTAATATTTTTATAATTTATTTTAATACCACTAATTAAGAAATAAAATAATTTTCCAGAATTAAAATGCATATTTTCTATCTTTAATTCTACAGAAGATAATCCGCTTTTTGTGGGTTTTCTTTCGTAAAAGCAACAAAATTGCCAATAAAATGACAAACAGATGGATCAACAAACGACCTACACAAGTAATCGAACTGGTAAAATTCAATTAACTCAGTTGACCAAACGTTTCACACACGTTCTGCTGAGGTTTTAAAACTAACAAAGCTCAGTAGTGCTTCTGGCAGCGTGAACATGACGGTTTGCTCAACTAATGTTCTTCTTCTGTAAACGCTGGTTTCGCAGCAGCAGGAAAATGTTGCTCATGCTTGTTTGGTTTAGTCGCCGCGCTGTCATGTCTCTTGTGTTTGACTAATCGCAGCCGCCGACCACCGAGCCTTAGATCCAGCTGCTTGTCAGACGTCGTTTCAGCGGCTTGACGTGAAATAAAACAAATTAAATCCAACGCTGCTGCTTGGTTCTTATGTTCCACGACTGATCTACAAGTTTGTCTGATAGATCATCATTCGCTCTAATTCAAGACTTCCTGGAGTTCATTTTAACTTTATTTGAAGAGTTTGTTGAACCTGCAGGAGCCACGTTTTCAAGAGAAACTCTAACAAGCTTAAAATGATGCACTCAAAGAAAACAGTCCATGGAGGTAAAATCACCTGGTTTTAGGTTCATCTTTGACAAAAACGACTAAAAATTTGTCCAGAATCACTCAGAATGTTTCAAAACTCATTAAAACCACTTTCTGATTGTTAAGGTCTAGAAATGTGTCTAAAATGACTCCAAAAGTGTCCAAAAATACTTAAAATTTGTCAAAAACAACTTTAAATTTGTCCAAAGTTTCCTGAAACCTGTCCACAGTGACTTCAAGCCTTTCCAGAAATAAGTTTTTTTGTTAGAAACAGCTGTAAATTTGTCTGAAATTACTCTTAAATTGCCCAAAATTTCTTGAAATTTGTCCATAAAATAGCCTAACTCTGTCCAAAATTACTCAGAATTGGCCCGTTGGTCAGCAGATGAGGAGTTTTGGGCTCAATTTAATTCATATTTATTCTCCAAGATTATTTAAAATCAGATTCGTACGTTAGCAGGAAAGTAGCACCACATGAAGTGAAAGCAGCTGATTAAAATGTGGAAGTAAAAAATCTATTTTGCCTGTCGATCAGCAAATAATTGTAATTGTCATTTTGTCCGTGACGCTGCAGCCTTCGTCAGTTTTATGGAAATACTTCAGGTTCCCAATCTGCAGCTGTTGTTAGTTTGACTGTTTAACTCAGCGGCACAAAGATCTGAATGAGCTCAGCTTATTTAGAATTATTTTTGTATTTTCTGTTCTCGTCTACAAAACCCCTAATCATTGTATAAAGATTCATTTTTACTAAATAGACTTATTCAAGTCAACATTTCTGTATTTTATTACGTCTAGATGCAGATTTTGAACGATTGTCTTAAACAGCAGAATTACCAACCGACAACCGATTAACTATGACATAGCTAATATACTACTAGTAGCTGATATCGCTGTTTTTGACAACAGAATGTGACATTTGCCGCTAAAGAATCGCTGTGATAGTCGACTGGCTCGTCTTGAATACGTTACGTCAGCAAAGTCTTTGTCATGGTGCCCGTTGTGAGCTAAACCCCAACAGTGTGTTTGCTTCCTCCAATCGCTGTGGTATTAAACAGTAAGAGGCTCCACCTGGTGGAACAATCAGGTACTACAGCTGATCTGCATGTTCTGACATGCATGTAGAGAATCCAGGTGTTCATCATGTGTTGGAGCTCATGGAGGCAAAGTCCACCACGTCTCCATTAGTGTGATAACAAACATCTCAAGGACAATTAAAATACAAAAAACATGGGAAAATCAAAATCTGCAGCAACTGATGTTGTCGTGTCAATGTGGACCAAAACCTCTGAGGAACGTTTCCTGAACCTTGGTGAATCTATGTCACAAAGCACTAAATTAAGGAAATTCTGGAGGTAACAGTGGTCCAACCCAGTAGTAGCCAGGTGTAGCTAATAAAGGTATGTTTACAGTCTTTCTGAAATTGCTGTTTTAAGTATGTAATCCAGGCTGTAAGTTCAGCACTCTGTCCTGGTCAAACTGGTTTGTCTATGAGCTGGAAGTCTTTAACCTCCACAGAAGTCTAAGTCACGGTGCTTGTTGCTGGTTAAACCCCCATAATGCTCTCTGCTAGCCTCTGGTCTCTACAGTGTTAAACAGCAAGAGGCTCCACCTGGTGGAACAACCAGGTACTACAGCTGGTCTACGATACATTTACTAACATGCACGTCCTTCATCTTTTGTCCTAACGGTTAAATGATTTTAAATCAGTTAAATAATTAGCAGCATGTAATGACTGATCGTTAACACTCCCAGTTGTAGCATCATAGAAAACCACTGCAGCCGCTGAGCATCGTCCAGATTTAGTCCCAGGACTCACTGTCAGAGTCGGCATAGAGCAGCAACAAAGAGAGAACCAGTAAAATGGATAATCGGCTATTGTGTAAAGTTCCAGTCGTGGAAAAAGGCTAGCAGCGCCAAGCTAACCTCAGAGGGGCAGCTCGGACAAAGACTCGCTTCTCGTCTGTTTAGAGTTGAAAAGTGCAAAAACTGCAGCAAAAGAGTTCGTCCAGAAACCGTCGTAACTGCTTCAGGTTTTGTTTTTTTTTGTCAGTTGCTGTAATTTAAAGTCGTTCGCGTCGGCAGAACTTTGACTCATGCAGCAGTCGCATCATGTTGGACAGAACACAGATAAGAAGTCGACTCTAAATAATGGTTCTTCTAAATAAACACGACACCAAAGCAGCGTCACAAAGTTTCCATTTTCTGTTTGGAAATAAATCCGGAGAGTTACTGAGAAACGACAGTGAGCCGCTGAAACCTGAGCGAGCGTCCAGATGTTCTGTCAGGTTTCACTGAAACAACTGTTGACAAACCACAGACGGACGGACGGACGGACAGAGAGGGGAGGAGCCCCGACAGACAGACAGACCCACGGTAGCTCTACTTTACCAGCAGTTCCAAGGCGGCTGCAGGACTTCAGGCCAAAACTCTTCCAGCCTCTTTCTTCCTCCTCTGGTTCTGCAGGAGCTTCAGGAGACGCCGAGTGTGTGTCGGTGTTGTGATCGTCTCAGAGTGTGTGTCGGCGTTGTGTGTCGGTGTGTGTCGGAGCGCCTAATAGAGCTGAAGGAAAGCCAGGACTTGTGCAGCAGCTGAGACAAAACGAGAGAGTGAGCGAGAGAGGAAGAAACAGCAGAAAAAAGAAAAGAAAAGAGAGAGAGAGAGGGAGATGTGTCTTTGCAGGACGTCTGAGAAAGACAACAAAGCTTCAGGCTGAAGTCAGACAGACAGAAATGTGAGTGGAAAAGCAGATTTATGAACACGAGGGAGCGTAAAACAGAAAGTCTGCTTCGGTTCTGTGGCAGAAAACAACGAGAACTGTCCAGAGAAAAGAGTTCACGTGGAGGTCAGAGGTCGAACACGTCAGAGGAAACAAACTAAAGTCACCGAACAAGCAGGTGGACACAGTTTAACCAGAGATGAAGTCGGTTTCTTTGCTGAAAACAAGAAGTTTTAACTGGATGTTACACAAATAAGTGAAACAAACAGAACACGAGGAGGAAGTTCTGAACACACAGAGCTGACCTCATGAACAATGTTAAAGCTTCAACACCCATCAGAGGCTAAAATCTTTACCTGACGTCGAACCCTCCTACAGTCCACAGACTGAACAGAACACACCAGAATCCACTCGTCCAAACTAACAGCAGCTCATCAGCTGCTTCATTTCTGATTCCCTGAGCTGTGAAACTTCTCTGACTTCATCTAACTACTGATTTACCTGCAGCTGGTAAACTCTGGGACGCTCACCTGTCTGAGGTGAGCAAAGGGTCACATGTGAATCATGTGATCATCGTGTCTGCATGTCAGGGATCATTTATGATTATCAGGTAATGATGAACACAAACAGACACACAGTTTGACTCCAAAAAGACACAAAATGGTCATAAAGCAGAAGAAAATGACCAAAAAGGAGAAAAATGACCACAAAGAGGCACAAATTGACCTAAAAAAAGATGTAAAATGAGCATAAAGCAACAGAAAATGACCAAAAAGGAGAAAAATGACCACAAAGAGACACAAATTAACCCCAGAAATATACAAAATGACCATAAAGCAACAGAAAATTATCAAACAAGGTTAAAAATCATCACAAAAAGACACAAATTGATCATAAAAAAGACACAAAATGACCAAAGTAGGTGAAAAATGACCACAAAGAGACACAAAATGACTTAAACAGACATAAAATGAGCATAAAGCAACAGAAAATGATCAAAAAAGGTGAAAAATGACCTCAAAAGCATCACAAAGAGACACTAAATGACCGTAAAGCAACAGAAAATCACCAAAAACTGGAAAAATGGCCACAAAGAGACACAAATTAACCCCAGAAACACAGAGTAAAAATGACCAAAAACAGACACAAAATGACCAGAAAGCAAAAGAAAAACGCCAAAAAATAATAAATGTAGGATAAATACATTTATCGTAAATGTCTCATTTAATGAACGCTAAACAAGAACCAGGTTCTGTCTGAAGCTTCGACTGAACTGCAGACAGTGTTTACACTGAACCAGGAGAGGAACCGACCACATGTGATGTTATAGATGATAACAGATGTTCTAAGTATGAAGGTCACGATGTTCTGACAGAATTAACAACAGTATGGAAAAACGTCAGACATGTTAACTCCAGGGTTTATTTGTTTGTTTTGTGAAACGAATGATGTAGAAATTCAACCTTATTTTTCCTTTTTTATGATTTTTTCCTGCTCAGAAGACGTCTCTGAGTTCTTCACGGTTGTTGTTTAGTTCAAAATGTCGTTTAAATGTCCAGCAGCAGCTGAACAGCGCTGGAGTCTGTAGATCAGATATTAGTGGAGACAAAGCTGAATGTTAGTTAAACCTGTGAACCAGAGAGTATAAATGCTTTAACGTTGTTGAACCTGGTGTGAACGTTGGTCACTGTGGAGTGGTGGTTTCACAGCAGCAGCTCTGAGGCTCTGAGGTGGAGCTCAGATGATTCTGCTGACATCAGTCCAGCAGCAGCTGGACTCTGACATCATGATCAGAGAGCTTCAGGCCTTCAGCCACTGGTTCTGATTCTGTCCACAGCTCTGTGGTTTTAAATGGGTTTTGTTGTTTTGTGTTAGAAGCAGAAACTGTTTCCTGATATCAGCTGAGTAACCATCAGAGCTTCTGTCAGAGGAAACAGGACGGAGCAGCAGGACTGAACACGTCGACGCTGCTTCAGCCGGTTCTGTCCCGACTCGCCTCCGTTCAGCAGGAACTCAGCAGTCAGCAGCTGAAACCGTGAAGCTGCGTCCAGATGAGAGTTCAGCCGCTGGAGGTTACGGGACACTTCTCATGTCTGTGAACAGCTTCTGAGCTTCAACACTCAGCTGTTATGAACTCAGCTCGTTTACAGCAACAGCTGACGAACCGAAGCAGAAAAACAAGAACAACATGTTAAATATAAAGATTAAGACCTGACGGTGGTGTTTATGGTGTGAATTCACCAAAACAACTTCAGTAATCTGGAATAAAACCCCACAAAATAATCTAAAATACAACTTTATGTGACTGTAAAACACACTCAGGACGACACCTGCAGCTTCATTAATGATAGAAATCATGAGACTGAAGAAACAACAAACCAAAGCCTCTGTGAGCAGCTTCAGGTTTTATTTATTAGTTAAACATTCAGCCTGAAGTTCAATGAAAACTGATTTTCTGCTCTTTGACAGTTGATCACAGCCGAGTCACTGCCTCATGTTTGCATCGATGAGGACAGAATTGTTCTTTTTTTACAGAATCTAGTTCGATCAAACGGCAGATTTATAAACAAGAAAAGTAGAATAAAGTCGACTTTCAGCTCAGAGCTGCAGCTCACATGATGCGTTGAGGGACCGTTGGAAAGTTGAAAATCCGATGATTCTTCCTGTTTCTAGTCTGACGTTAATAAAGGTGTGATTTAGGAGATTCTTTTAGACACAACCAGCTTTTCAAACCTACCGGCAGGTTTTAGGTTTAAACAACATTAAACACGTGAAACGTTCTGATTCTGCAGCTTCGAGAGAAAAAAACCTGAAAGTCCACTTTAAACAAACAACAAAACTTTTTCTTAATAATCTGATAAAATCCAGAACAAACGAGCAGACCAGAGCTGCTGTTGAAAGACGACACATGAAGCTGCAGATTCCTCTGAGCTGAGTCACCTGAACGCAGCTTCACCTGAACCGTTCATGTCGGCTGAACCTAACCATCAGATTTCACTCCTCGAACCGAACCGAGACTCGTCGACGCTTTTCTGCTGAAACAAACTGAAACTGAAGCAGCTTCGTCTGTCAACACGTGATCTGATGAAGCAGCGACTCGACTTCACGCTGAAACTATTCTGTTTGGTCTGAAGGAGCTCAGATCCAGGAGCAGAAGCTGCAGCGCCGCCTGCAGGACGACGCTGGAAACTGCAGACAGAAGAGCGAATTAGTCACAAAACATCGTTTATGTTCTGTTTTTGAAGATAAAAACATGTTTTTAATTTAATAAAATAATGTTTTTAATGAAAAATTATTCATTTCATTAAAAATGAAATAATACAAAGTAATATTTTAAAATAATTATTAACACAAAAACTTTTTTCCTTTATAGAAATTCACTTTTTTTATACATTTTTTAAGAAAAATTGTATGATAATTAATTAATTAATTTAGACAAAATAATGTGTTTTTCAATTTTTAAAAAAAAGGCAAAAAATAATCATAAAATAATAAAAAAAAAAAAAAAAAATTTTTTTAAAAAAAAGGCAAAAAATAATCATAAAATAATTTATATTAATTAAGAAAAAGTACTGTTTTAGTGTTAGTAGATAGTTTGTATTACAAAAGTAATTTGTTAATTTAAAGAAGCTTTCTAAATTCTATATTTGAAGTCATAAATCCTTCTTGAAAGAAGAACAAATACACATAAACCCCATAAATGACTTCACTTCCACATATTAAATAATCCCACAATCATTTATTGTGTTTTTTATTAAAACTTTGTTTTATTTTCTTTGTATTTATTTTATTTTAAGATCTTCTTTATGTTCTCGTTTTGAACGATTGCTTGAACCTGTAAAAATGTGAACTCGTCCTTTAGAAGCAGCTCAAACCTGCCATCTGCTGCCATCTGCGGCTCAAAGCTTCAAGTGTTTCGTCTTCTAGTCTCTGATTCCTCCTCCGTTACTTCTGACGACGGACTCGATCCTCCTCAGCTGGAAGGAAACCAGAGTCCACTCACCTCTGTCTCGTTCTTCATTTATTCTGTCGGTGTTTTTCTCTCTGCTGGAGGGTTTGTGTTGCTTTAACTTCCTCTAAAGCACCACAAAGGTTTTCTGTTGGACACAAACTGTCCAGGTCATGTCTAGTCAGGTTTGACTCATGTTGAAGTTTCTAACTGGTTTTAGGACCTGTTTTAGTCATTTTAGACACATTTCAGGTCATTGTGGAAGATTTTTGGCTCGTTCTGGACAAATTTGAGTTAAGTTTACGTGGCAGTGGTTTCCACTTTGTTCTTGTGTGAAAACGGTTCTCCTGCTGGAATGTTCCTCTTCTTCAACCTTCATCTGGTCAGACAGTGTTCTGGTTTTTATCCTCAGACATTCATCTAGAAATATCATCAACGCCTCCTCTTATCATCACTCCCACCTCCTTCTTCACTGTCAGGACTCACTGTGGTGGTCCTGGTCAGGTTCACACCAAACATCTGGACTCCATCTGAGCCGAACAAGTTTATCTTCATCTGACAAAAGGATGTGCTTCCAACGTACATCAGGCTTCTTTTCACTTGAAAGCAGCAGGACTGTCTTTCTTGTCCTCCGTCCACAGAGGTTGATGTTCTGAAGTGTCCTTCACACTGTCTGAGCTTCACACTGACTCTGGTTTCCATTGATAACTCTTGTGTGGAGTGTGAAGCAGCTGCCTTTGTCTGGTTTAACAGCTGGATCATGAAAGTAGTTCACTGTCTGTGGAGTCATTGTAGGAGGACGACCACTGCAGCCCTGATCAGAGCTACTATGGCTCCTTCTAGACCTCCTGGTTACTGCTCACACTGGGCTTCACTGATGTTGAGTTGATCTTCATGGATCGTTTTCCATCTTTGTGAAGTCTCTCAGTCAGATTTTTCAGTTCCTCTGTTCAGTTCTTCTCCATGTGGAGCCATGATGCAGACATAGACACAGCTCATAGGTCCACAACTGAGAAAGTTCTGCTGTTCACAGCTTATTTTAGAACCATGTTCATGCAGTTAGTCTGACTGGAAATCATAGCTGGACTCAGTTTAGCTTCAGCTGGATTCACTTCTGTTGTGTTTAGTTTCTACTTTGGTTCCTGAAGTTTCAACGTTGTCTTTATAAAGTGTGTGTTTCTGATCTGCTGCTAAACTCCAGACTTGAGGTGATAACGAATCTCTCCGTCATGTCTCTGCAGCAGAAGTATCCGTCCGTTGTGTCTCTTCCTGGAGGCTGCAGGTCGGAGGTCATGGCTCTGAGTCACGCTGAGCTTTCTGGGTAAATATAAAACGCAACACAGACACCAAAACACAGACGTGAAGTCTGCAGCATCACGTTCTGTTGGTCGTTTTCAGCTGCGTCCTGTTCGTTCACTGGTCCGTGGAGGTCTCCAGAGAAGGAGGCGTCACGCCGAAGATCGAGCTGCTGACCAAGATCCCAGACGAAGGTGAGACACACAAACTCTGTTTTTGTCAGTTTGTGTCTGTTTTGGTGATTTCGTGTCTCATTTGTGTCATTTTGGATTGTTATTTTAAAATCCTTGAGGGTATTAAATTTTTCTTTTGCACCCTTTTTTTGTTTTTCTTTCGTTTTTAAGTGCATTAAATGTTCGTTAAATGAGAGCTAGCCTGTTTAATAACAGGTTTCACAACAAAAAAATGTTTTCATCAGTGTATGTAAGCAAAATGCAGTTTTTATTAACATATATGGTCTATTCACACCAAATTTTCTTTACTAAACATCCATCCATCATCTATACACCACTTAATCCTCACTAGGGTCGCGGGGGGCTGGAGCCTATCACAGCCAACTTAGGGCGAAGGCAGGGGACACCCTGGACAGGTCACCAGTCTATCACAGGGCTACACTTAGAGACAGACAACCAAGCACACTCACATTCACACCTACGGACAATTTAGAATCACCAATTAACCTCAACATGTTTTTGGACTGTGTGGGAGGAAGCCAGAGAACCCGGAGAGAACCCACGCTGCACGGGGAGAACATGGAGACTCCACGCAGAAAGATCCAGCGACCTTCTTGCTGCGAGGCAACAGCGCTACCAACTGCGCCACCTTGCAGCCCTTTACCAAACATTAAAAAGTCAAAAAACATGATCTCATGTATTTAAGCTATAAAGAATGACTGCATTTGTGTCTTTATTTTTGACTGTTTCTGGTCTTTTTGGGGTCTCAGCTGCCTGATTATCACCATTTATTGCTGTTTTTCTCCCCCAGTGTGAGATGATTTTGTGGTTTTGTTCCTCTGTGTGTGTCTGCAGCGCTGCAGCTGTTCCCCTCTCGGCCAGTAGGCGGCGCCACCGAGGCCTTTCAGAGCCTGCTGAGGATTCTGGGAGCTGAAGCTGCCATCGAGTCGATCATCAGAGCGATCAGCCTCCAGCAGGACGTTTAATTCAGTTTCATTCATTCTGATCCTGATTTTCTGACCTTCATTATCAGCTGATGTAAACACAGAAACAGACGACAAGCGTTGAGTCTCTTAGAAATCTTTATTTCAATAGAAAGAGCTCGGCTGTGACGGCTGTGACAGCCGAGCTCATCGGTCAAAATCTACAAAAATAAATAATTTAAATACAAAATGCCAGACAGCAGAGTCGCCTTTGTATTCTCAAATAGTTCTCTTCTCTCAGCTATGTACACACACGCAGTTATTAGAATCTGTAGGTATCACAGTGCTGTGATGTTTCTGCAGGTCGACGCCCAGGCAGCAGGCAGCGGCCAATCAGGCTGCAGCAGGTGGAGGCTGCGGCCAATCGGGCTGCAGCTCACCTGGCGGAGGTCTGGATGGTGTCACAGTATTATTGATGTAGTAACACTGAGTTTGTGCCTCAGTGTTGTCACGTTTGATGGCACGTTGCAAGTTTGACCGTCTGAGCAGGTTTTTACAGATTTGACAGGACGATAATCGCGTTTCTCAAACGTCGTCCCAGATGTGCAGCGAAACCATAAACTCCAACCAGCAGCGTCCAGTAAGAGCTTCTGGCTGAACTTTTACTGAAGTCTGAACCCCGAAATCAGCAGATGGGTTGAAAGGCGTCTCATCTCCTAACTGAACAAAAAGGAATTGTTGGATTTACAGCAGTCCTTGAACTACTCATCTGTGAGGTTGTGTTCGATTTGAAAATGAATCCAAATGTGAGAAAATACTCAGTCACAGCGTAAGTCAGGTAAAAGTATTTGAAGTATTATCAGCATTAAATTAAAATGCTCAAGTTAAAGTAGGAAAACCCCAGAATAGTAACTGAGGTTAGTTATCTCACTTCACGACGGTTTTAGGTTCATGAAACAGAAACCAAAATCTGAATCCGTCAAGTTTTACGGTTTAATGAGAAACTTTTCCTTTCAGACAAGTTTGTAACAGAAGCTGTGTTTCAATAAAGTTTCACATTTGAATAAGTTACCAGAAACTACAAAATCGGAAACAGATGCTTTTTCTTCTTCTTCTTCTAGGGTTTTTAGTTTCTTCTGCTCTGTTTATTAGAGCTAACGCAGCCCACAGCGCCACCTTCTGACGAAACTACGCAGACCCCTTTATTCACTACAAAGTTTATAGAAGCGAGCCTCATTGTTTGTTTGTTTTTTTCCCCTTTTTTGGTAACATTTTGAAAGTTTGCTTCGATTGGTTTAAGTGTTGGAACAGCGGCGCAAATATCTGGCCACCATCTGGTCGAGAATAGTCCTAAACATCTTGAGTAGAAGCGACACTATTTAGGCAGTAAACAGAAGTCGGGATGCATGTTTTTAACAGTTTTTTTAACTGATAGTCGTCAGCGTTGTTAATCAATAACTGATGACTCATTAACAGCCGGGAATTTTCTGATTCTTTCGGGTTTTTACGCCGCCGTGATGGAATATTATATTATTAGATATGTGAGCTCCGTCTGGAGGTCATTAAGCTCCACATCAGTCTCGTCATGGTGCCGTTGCTGCTTAACGGCCACATCGCTCTGCTGCCAGCATCCACCGTTCACAGTCTGAGTGAGCACTACAGTATTAGAGGCTCCACCTGGTGGAACAACCAGGTACTACTGTATCACATATTTACCAATCAGTTAATCACTTAACCGTTAATCACTGACAAAAGCGGCTCGTTGATTTGCCGTCGGTGTTTGTTCTATCCAGACCTCCTCTATCTCACATTTCCCATCAGCCCCTGCTGCCTGCTGCGTCTCCATTTCGACAGTTACAACGATCATTGGTTGGTTCAGCTCGCTGCCGTCCACTCTCCAGCCTTTTCCTGCTCCGTCTCCATGACAACCAGGCGTCCGAGGCGTCCCGTTGGCTAAACGTCCTGTCCTCAGTAACAGAAGCTAGAAGGAGCTGGTTTAAACCATTTTTTAGTGTTTGGATTTGACAGAACCCGCCTGGTGCCGGAGGGCCGGAGCGAGGTTGGAGTGTGAAGGACTCAGGCTCTTAGTGTGATTTCCTGACGTCTGATTGGCCGAAGCTGGAGAGTGTCAGCAGGAACTGAAGTCAAGTGTCACCAGTTTATCTGAAGCCTCCGTCGGCGGTTTGTGAGGACGACGACGTCACCGGGAGAGGAAACGCCAGCGTCCTCAGAGACGTCCCGGCGCTCCTCAACGGGTCGCCGGGAGTTCGAGGTACTGAGAGTTCGCCGCTGCGTCCACGGCCCGGTCAGACGAACGTCCGTGAACGCAGCCTGTAACAACGTTTTCTGAGCGCACCGCCGCCGCCCTCCAGTCCGACCAGAACATTTAGGCACATGGACAAACACACAACAACAACAAGCCACTTATGGCACAAGAACCAGGAGCTCGGCCCGTCTGAAGAGCACTGGACTCCGTTACCCAGCAGCCACTGCTCCGGTCCGATTAGACAGAAAGCATCTCTGATCTGTTAAAACTTTAAGTTCGCTCTCTGCAGCCGTTCGGTCACGTTCAGCTTCAGTTCTGCGAAGTCGCTTCACATCCGCCTCAGAAAGGACGAGTTGATGTTAAAGACGGAGCAGAGCCGACGGGTTTCATCATCTGTGTCTGATGAAAGAGTCTGAATCCACAGAACTGAAGCGCTGACGGGACGGGACGGTCACAGAGCTACAGGTCACCGGGTTAGTCAACAGGTTAGCCGACTACCGAGATTAAACATCTTCCTCAACAGAACGAGTCCGGATCTCACAATAATAAAGGGCCGAGTGTTGAAAACAAAAGCAGGTTTTAAAGTCAGAGGTTTCAGCCGAGGCTACGACTTATATCCACAACTAACAGAGTCAGAGCTGCTGAACCGGTCGGAGGAGTTTCCTACTTTTATTAAATGGAGCAGCAGAAAGTGAATGTTTCATTCATTGCACTTAATTATTTAATCATTATTTAACCACAACACGTAGCCGTAGGACCCGTTTGTGACTCTTAATGTTTAACAAGATGGTTACAGGTGTGTTTGCTGTGAGGGTGTGTAAAACAAGCGCCCCTCTCTGCTGAAGCTAATTCGCTTTCAGTCATTTGCTATTTTGCACAAATTTCAGGTCAATTTAAACCATTTTTCAAGTCGTTCTGCACAGTTTCAACTCATTTTTTAAAATCATTTTTGACTATTTTTGAGCATATTTCAGGGAACTTTCAAGTCATTTGGACAACTTTCCATCCATCAGGGCCAACTGGGACAGACTATTAAATCTAAAACTGACCATCATAGTATGAAATGAGCCTCATCTGTTTGTTCAGAGGATTGTGGGTCAGAACATCCTGCTGCTGACTCCGACCGCTGTCGTCCAACGTCCTGGTATTTTTGAACACTGTGAAATATCTTCCGGCAGAATAAACTCTAGTCCGGTTGTGTTGATGTTACAACCCGGCCTGAAACCTCTGACCCGACTGAAAGCAAAGCATTATGGGTACGACGCTCTAACTCTGTCGCCGCGGTGACGCCTCTGTCAGTGGACACACCTGGACAGACAAGCCCCGCCCCCAGGAGAAATGACATCATACTGCTTTTCACCTTTACTTCAGGAAGGTGGGGGTAGGGGGTGGGGGGGGTTGGAGCGTGTTGCCATGACAACCAAACGTCCAATCAGGAGGCCGATGCTCACTGACGTCGGGTCGCCACGGCAACACGGATCAGTAACACAAACACGTGGCGCTCCTGCAGGTTTGTTGCAGCTCAGCGATACCTGCCGACGCAAACACAAAGTGCTGCAGCGGAGCCTCGGGTGAGCAGCTCCGCTCTGAGGGGCGTCTCCTCCCCGACGGAGGCGTCGGTCGGTCGGGCTGCGGGAGGCGGCCGTCACACCGGGTGGAACAGCAGCGTGCAGTCGTCCCTCTCTGCCGCCGCGAAGATGCCCTTGGGCAAGGCACCGGTCCTCAGGTAGCAGGACACGATCTTCTGGTCCAGACGCAGCTGGCGAGGGATGCTGTCGAACGGCTTCGGGTCCAGATCCAAGATGGACACCGAGTAGGAGAACGCAGGAGGTCTGAAGTCTCTGAGGCGCCGCTGACCGGAGAGCCTGACGGACGGAGAGGAGGAGGGTCGATGAGTCATGAGTTCATAACGAGGGCCGACGTTCAGACATTTAAAACAAGTGCTGCAGTAGACGTTTAAACACTGAGGTCAACACCCCACGTTGTGATTTATGTCAGTCATTTAAATATTAAGGATTAAAATACAACTTTAACCGACTATAATTAATAATTAAGGACGAGATCCAACAAACACTAACCTGACTCATCAAAGTTTAGGACCTACAGTGTTATTCAGGTCAGTTCAACTAATTTAAATATTAAAGATTAAAACCCGATTTAAATGATGCTAACTTTAGGTTTAAGACGCTCTTGTTTGTATTTTATTTATTCGAATGATCCTCATGTGTTTTTTTGCTTATTTAAAGTATTCATTGTTAGCTTTTGCTAAAATGGTATTTAAAATAAGTTTTAAGTCTATTTCAGTTCTTGTTTTATACAAAAATCCCTCCAGTAACTTTAAATACGCAGATTAATCTGACTAATTTAAATATTATGGTTAAAACTCAACAGTGTTTTTAATTACGGAAACTACTCTAATTTAAATATTAAGTTCACGACCCTGCAGTGTTATTTATGTCAGCTTATCTCAGTGATTTAAATATTAAGGATTAAAACCCTGTTTATTAGAATCGTCTGTTTTTTTAGCTTATTTATTGTATTAATTAGCGCCTTTTGTTAAAATTGTGTTTTGCAGAAGTCCATTTTAGTTTTGCCTTAAAACAAATTATATTTATATAATTATATATATGTGTGTGTGGGTGTGCTTTATTTTTTAGTTTAGGGCCCTACAGTATTTTTATTACAGAGGCTATACCAACTAATTAAAATATTAAGGTTAAGACATTAATTATGCATCTTAATCTGACTAATTTAAACATTAAGACTAAAGGATGATTAATTATGGAGACTAACTAATTTAGAACCAAGTTAAAACCTAACGAACCCACGGATTCTCTATGAGCAGGACTTGTTTTTATTTATTACATCTATATTTATTGTTAACAGCCACTACTACATAAAAATATTCATCATAATCTCAATGCTTTATGTTTTATTTATAGTAGTGACTCGGTGGTAACGGGACGCTCTGGGCAGAACCAGGTTGGTGTCGCCACCTGCTGGACTCTTTGTGCTACACCTCACTGATCCATTAAAACATCAAGCTTCATCAGTTCAGCGTTTTTACTTGAACAACGACCGACTGCTTTCAGCTTCTTATCGGACTGGAAACTGTCGACGACCTCACTGTGAACTCTGAACACCGTCTATGTTTGTGACATTAAGTGAACCCTCACCCTTCATCGTCGTCCTCTTCCTCGCCGCTGGGCAGCAGGGCGACCATGATGGAGCAGTCCTTGGCCGTCATGGCGACGCGGTACTGATGGACCTGAAGACAAAACACAGCAGTCAGACTCTGAACACCTGACAAAGACACAAGAGGCTAAAATCACAGAATAATATCTAACGGAGTGATGTGGAATGATGACTTGTTGAGCCATTTGTTTGCTTAAAATGAACCAGTTCTCAACATCACTTTGTTCTACGTGCCTCGTTCAAAAATCTGCCAGAAATTAATTAATTGCAGGCACCAGATTCTGTAAAAAATTAAAAATTCTGTGTTTGTTGGTGCAACCATGACGCCGTCGGGTAGTTAAATATCTATAGAACGTAGAGTCGCCATGTTTACAGTGTCGGTAACACCTGCGGACACTTTGGTAAAAAAAAAATAGAATGAATCTTTTTCAGTTTTTGTAAGAAATCATCAGATAAGTTAAACTTTTTTTTGGTCTTTTTTTTGTTGTTGTTTCGGTTCTGTTTCCGTAGAGGTGCAGGACTTTATACTGCAGTGAAAAACGTGAGAGTTCTGGTTCTGGTCCGACCTTAGCAGCAGCGAACTCCACAGAGCCGTCGTCCTCCGTCGAACATTTCTGCAGCTTCTCCAGAAAAGCCTCGTTGTACGGTCCGTCTATCTGGAGACGAGTCCTGAGACAAACAGAGGCCACGTCAGAGACCAGATTATCGCCGGCGTCACAGTTGCCCTGTGGCGGCAGAGCGCTACCTCTCTTTGGGGAAGTCCTGCAGGTGCTGCTCCACTCGGCGGTACAAAGGATGAAGGCCTTCGATGTCCAGCGAGTCCAACATCTGGGTCTGAAGGATCCTGAACAGAACGCTGTCGCTGGGTAAACCCTGAGAGCCTGACAGGAGGAAGGACATCAACAGTTCTCAGTCAGTCAGGCTTCGGCTTCCCACATTTACATCATCAGAACTGAAGCTTAATGTTTTAGTAGAAAAATGTCTGACTGAGGCGGCTCCACATAAACAACCTCCAAAATAACGTCTATTTTCTGACAGATGTTTGATTTGCAGCATCATTTTTAGTCCAGCTTCAGTTCAATAGTCACTGTCTAATCACCACATGAGACACCATTGAAACCACTGAGACTCCAGTTTACACTCTGAACATTAAACTGCAGTTTGTGTTAATGGTTTTAAACTGGTAACTGTTCAGCTCTGGTGTGAGGGTGAAGAAACGAAACACAAATTCTGTAAAGAAGCCAAAAAAAACAACATTTTTCCTTCGACCTCATCAAACACTGATGTTACTGAATCTGTTCTGAAAGTTCTCAACTACTGACGCACGACGACGGGAGCAGTGGGTTAATTAATGCTCCTCTAACGACTAAACTGTAAACAAACATGAATGAAGAACAGTTTCTGACCGTGGCGAATCCTCTCCTTGTTGAACAGGCTCGCCTCACAGAAGCTCCTTCCTTCTCCTCGCCGGTCCGTCACTCCTCCTCCTCCCCCTCCTCCTCCTCCTCCTCCGCTCAGCAGAGCGTTGACCAGAACCTGCAGACAGAACAGTTCTGCTGTGAGGCTTTGACAGCGTCCAGGGACGTCCAACCATCACAACGCACTAATAAACAAACAAGTGAATCTAAATCTGCTCCGTATTTCCTGATTCACTTGCAGCTGATGAACTGTGATGTTAACAAAGTCCACAGCTGCTGGTGGATCCTGATCGGTCCCGTCTCCATGTCAGAGATCGTTTATAATTATCAGGAGTTAAGTCACTGCTCGAGCAACTCTGTATTCCAACATGAATATATTAGAAAATCAGTTTTCCACAGACTGAACCGTGTCTAGAAGATGATTCTGGTATCAAATGTGTGTAAAAATGATCCTTTCATTGTCTAGAACTTGTTCTGACCAACCACCATCACACATGCTGACGTGGAACGTTTACCCAGAATGCACTTTGTAAAGTTTTCTCTGGTGAATGATCAGGAAACAGAAACACATCCAGGAAACCAGTGATTGTTTCTGTGACTCTATGTCATAGATATACTGTCAAAGCTGTGATACATCCCATAATACTGATGCTCACAGTTAGCTGTAGAGGAAAATGAACAAAAATCAGATTTAGTGTTTAGGTTGTGAGACCTGGGTGGATGTAAAACTGATCTGGTGTCAGTTTTCTAACAGAACCTACATGTGTTTTTCGGTCCTGTCTATTTCCTGAATGAACTCCAAGGTTCTGTAGCTCTGAAAACATTCTTAGTATGAAGGTAAAACGTTGCGGGGAACATGGATCTTGCTGCTGTCTGATAATAAAGTCAAAGGAAAAACAAAAGCAACTAAATAAACTTCCAAACCTGGAGAGTCACTGCTCTGTCCTGTTGGAGTGTTTTAATCACAACTAACTGAGACTTTTATGGACATTTCAGTGTTTTGCTCACTGTGATGTTTCTGAACCAACATTGCTGCTGAAGTGTGGAAAAAGTCTTCAAATCAAACCTAACATGACGGTTCAGCTCAGATCTGTGGCGTGTTTAAAGTCTAAATTCAACTTTCCGATCACTCTGGAGGCCGTTTCTATTATTTTGTCCACCTCGTTTACATCAGTTAGAGCCGGTTACATAACGATCGGCTCCGTGTCGCCCGTCCGACTGTCGGCCTACCTGGATGAAGTCGTTGAGCAGAGCCTTGCTGGTCATGTGACTGTTGATCCGGTTGTTCCCGTACAGGAAGTACGGTCTGAGATGATGCAGCAGAGAGTTCAGGTCCAGAGAGTCGTCACTGCCCTCCTTGCTGCTGTAGACGCACTGACCTCCCTGAAAAACACAAACTCGCTTCGTCAGCTGAATTGGAAAAGAAAAAGATAAACCAACTAGAAACATAAAAATACAAGCACAGACGAAGCAGACGGCCATCGCTTTGTCTCACCTTGAATATTTTGAAGTTGTTCTGAGGTTCTTCTATCAGGTGTCTGATGGCAAAGTGCATTCTCTGTCTGTTCCTAAACCACACAAGAGGAACCAGAACGTCAGTGAAGCAGCTTCAACGTGAGTCTGCAGCAGTTTGCAGACAGAAAACTCACAAACACACTCATGATTGCTAATAAACACACATTTTTAGTAATTAGACATCTGTGGGGCGACGTTTAATCAGCTGGTTCTCAACCACTCTTTTTTTTTTTTTTTTTTAAAGATTTTATTTTCTGGCGTTTTTGTCTTTATTCGTCAGGACAGTGAGAGAGTGAGACAGGAAAGGGGGAGAAGAATGAGGAGAGACTTGCAGCAAACCGTCGCGAGCGGGAGTCGAACCCACGACCGCTGCGTCGGGGAACCCTGTTCATGGGTCGCCCGCCCAACCAGGTGAGGTATGGGGGCGCCCGGTTCTCCGTCACTTTTAAGTAATCGGCTATATTTTAAAGTCTGAATTGTCTGGACTTTTATTACATTCGTCTGCACTTTATTTCATTTTATAGCATCTTTTACATGTTTGATGTTTCTCGGCTGTTTTATTCTATAAAATCTGCGTACACTTTACCGTCTCTACTCTCTCTTGTACTTCATCTTCTACCTGTTTTAGCTTTTTTTTACGACATTAAACAGAATAATTTCCGTTTGCAGACTTGCAGCTTAAATTTTGCAGCACTTTGGTTTAAATGTGCTTTAGAAATAAACTTAACGTGACTCTATTGAAGCTTCTTCACTCTAATATTTAAACTTATTCGGTAAATTAATTTCTTATTTCTCTATTGAAAAGCACGTCGGCTCAAATTTTGCTGTAAATGTGCCGTATAAATTACTAAAATGACAATTAAAGGTTTTATTGTTTAATTATTTGACCTACATTTCTCAGTATTGACTTTAATTTTTGCATCTTTTATCCTTTAGTTGTTGTGGTGTTGCATTCTGGGTATTCTCCTTTTGTTTTGTCTGTGAAAGCACTTCATAAACTCTTGTGTGTTTTTTTAAAATGCTGCATAAATAAAGAAGAAAATAAACAGTTCAAACGTCACAAACAGCCGGTACGATACCAAACATGTTCAGTGCACATGTATCGTCCTGTTGAATGTTTTGATCACTTGTTTTTTTAAAAAATGTTTTTAGATCAGAACTCACCCTGAGAACAGGTCCAGAGGACAGTACAGGCTGCGTCTCTTCCACTTCCCGTTGGCCACCTGGACAGACGGGAAAGAAACGTCAACACAGAAACAGAAGTTGTTGTTCTGTGGTTCTACTGAGAGGTTCTCTGGATGATTTGAGTTTCCTGAAGTTAGATAAAATACTTTCACCCTGAGCACAGTTAAAGCTTCTCTTCAGTCGTGTTTTGTTTAATAAAAGCTCCCGTTCTCCTGCTTCGTCTTTGTGTTGAACGTTCTCCGCTTCATCACTTTCTCCATCATGTATTTGCATCGTTATGAAAGACAGCCTTGTTCTGATTGTTTTGTTTTTCTTTCTTCCTGATTAAATAAAGATTTGAATCTATTTCCTGTCATCATGCGACACACGGAACGACGACGAGCACCGAACCTCTCGTTACAGATAAAAGCGCTGCGATGAGCAGGATATAAAGTGACAGAACGTCTCCACCGTCGAGAACAGAAGTCAGACTGTTCTACGGTTCCTGAACCCAGAGTCTGATTACTTTTGGTTTGTTTTACAGAACCTGGTTCTGACTTTCGGCAAAATCCTAAATGAGACAAGTAGAATGAAGTGATTTTGTATAAATTTCATGATTTTCAGCTTTGGGTTAAGTTTCTCTCATAAGCGGTAAATTCTGTAATTTTGCCATTTTTTTAAACACGAGGTCTTTTTTTGTTGGGTTTGGGGGTTCAGAAGTCTAAAAATGTAGTTCGTAATGCTTAAAAAACACCAAGCTTGATTCTCACTCTTTGTTTTTTAAGCAGCAATATGAGTCTTAAATGACCTTAAACACAGACGACAGACTTGTTCAACCTCCTGAACCCCAAAACCCACTAAAGGCATCTTGCTATTCTTATAAACTGCATAAATTAAAACATTTTTTAGAGCCAGAAACTGTAAAAACAGACAAAAATGTTCGACTGTTCTTAAACTTCTCGTGTGTGACTGTCGGTTTGCTAATTAACCAAATCTGAGCTCAAAATATTTCATCAACACCACTTTATTCTACTTGTTTTATTTTTAAAAACTGACTAAAAACAAACCATTTGCTTGAACCACATTCTGTAAAAAATGAAAAATTCTGCGCTCACTTGCTCAACCGTGAAGCCGTTAATGATTCAGCACCGACAAAGAGTCACGTCACAAAAATTCTGGGAGTTTTTAGCTGAACCGCAGGCAGAGAGGAGACCAGCGTGGAAACTGATTAAAAATGTAAAAAGTTAAATATTTGTAGTTTGAAGTCACATTTTTCTAGTGTTAGTAACATCTGTGGACATTTTTTAAATGTTTGCCATCTCTCTCATTATTCACGGTTGTTCTGTTTCCATAGAGATGCAGGACTTTATCTTGCAGTGAAATATGAGCCACAGTGAAGAAAAGTTCGAAAGGAGGGAAAAAAAAAAACACCCAGAGGCTGGACCTTGGAGTCCAGAGGGTTAAAGATATGCTGCTGTCATCAAGTACAGTCGTGACTCGATAAGCCGACACTAAATGTAAAACCTTCTTTAATGTTGGATAGCAAGGCTGTCGGATTGTCAAGACGGAGGTCCAGATACAAGGAGGGCTTGATGCTGGAAGGCTCAATAGTTGTTAATATTTATTGTTCATAGTTGTTATAATAACTAGTGTATTGTTAGAACACATCGCTGGATTTCAGCCTAACTGCCTGGTGCGATTGTGCACGGGTCCATTTTGCCACGTGACTTCTGTCTGAACGGCCAGGTCGCATTTATCCGACCTACACGTCATCGATACACGACAAACTAGAGCTGGTCTGAATAGCACTTTCTGGTCTCTAGATATTTGGGCCCAATTAATGATGAATATCAGAATATTCGTCCCGGTCGGGGACACTTCCACCCCGGTGCAGCGTTCTGACCGGGTGGAAGTTTCCGGAACACACAGGCAGTACTTGGCTGCTGATGCTAGTTTAGTTAGCGTTCACACTTCTGTTTCCACCATCGGTGGCGGCGGGGGAGTGGCAGATACGCTCCACCGTTACCATCCATGTTTACTTCCATAAACACTGAGCACGCTCGTCGTGTCCTCTTCTGCGCATGCGGGACACTTTTGGGTCGTATGAAGTTCACACAGCAGATCACATACAAGTCGCATTTAACTGGAAACGTGAAGGAACTCACAAAGAAATCCAAATTGAGCATCAAGTCCTGCAGTGTGAACGTAGCCAATCTGTGGGATTTTTCAGTCAGATAATACACCGTTATCCTGATTGGTGACATTAAATGTCATGTCGGAGTCAGAATCCAAGGCTGTCGCTATGTTAAGGCTGTTTTTATGGGTTCTGTTCGTTTATCCTAAAAACCTGTCAGATAGCAGGTTTAGGATTGTTAAGGGTCAGATTGTCGAGTCACGGCTGTAATTCGCCACCTGAACTACCGACAGTCTGCAGCGGTTGAAACAGAATTAGCTGAACGTTTTCTACACGTTTCACAGTGACGAAGACAAAACAGAGAACAGATCAGTTTGAGTCCTAAACGAGCAGATCTCTGACTAAGCGTCACACAGAGGAAATAAGTGTTCACATTCCTGTACTGAGCAGAAACACTCAGACTGTATGTTGTAATAAAGGAAGAGACGCCTCCAGCAGACTGAGGAGGACAAACCACAGGCCTGGATGAGCTCAGATCACTATCAGCACACAGCACTGCTGTAAAGCTGTTCAGCACTAATCCTGCAGCTGTTCAGTGACGGTGCTGTCGCTGTAGTTACCTTGTAGTGTTGGTGCATGCAGAAGCGACACACTTTGGTCTTGATGTCTTTGCTGACGTGTTTGGGGGACGGCAAGAAGCCACACTTGGGCTGAAAATACAACAGAGAAGCAGCAGATGAGCAACAGTCATATTCACACATGTGATTTGTTTTTTTAGTTCGGCTCGTCTGCGCCAAGAAAAGATTTCTAGAAGTGCTTCACAGGAGGGAGAGCAACGTTTCTGAAACCTCCACATGAACGATACGTGAAGCCCACAAGTTGTCTTCTTTCAAACGAATTGAGAAACGTGGCTGTTAGTAAAAAAAATGTGAGATTTTATTTCTCAGAACATTTTATTTGAACTTTGTTGTGAATTTAATTGAGATTCATTTTTGATATTTCGGTAACATTTTTCCAGACATTTAATGAAGATTTTCAGATATTCCGGATTCGTTTTTGTTTGTTTTTTGGGGGTAAAAAAAAAAAAAACTATCTCATGAAAAGTGTAAATAAAGTCTCTGAAGAATCTCAGAAGATCTATTAACATAATAAAACATATTAATATTGTGTAAAAAATGTGCGGCTCTATTTCTATTTTTCAGAGCATTTTATGACAACTTTGTGGTGTATTTTTTGAGATTCGTTTTTGACTGTTTATTAACATTTGTCCAGACACTTTATGAGGGTTTTCCTGAGATTGTTCAGACAGTTAATTAATTTTTGGGGGATATTTCATTAATAGATTTTTTGAGATTTGTCAAAGACTATATTTACATTTTCAGTTAATTCAATCAAGATATTTTGGGGGGAGATGTTTTTGAGATTATATTTGTTTTTCTAGACACAAAAATGTTGAGATTTATGAAATAGTTTAAGATAGTTTTTAAAAAATATATATTTCATTAATATTTTCTCTGAGATTCTGCGGCTATATTTGTATTTTTAGACAATCTGATTAAGAATTAAATTAAGCTTTTTTTATGTTAGATTTTTTTTCACATTTATCAAAGACAATATATTAATTTTTCTAAACATTTTATTAAGATTTTAATTAAAATTAATTTTTTACAATTTTTTTATCATTAGACATTTAGATTAGCAATTAAATTGGATTTTTTGGGGGGGAGGTATTCATATTTTTTCCATAGATAATATTTATAAATTTCAGGCATTTCATTATCATTAAAGAATCTAGTAAATAGTTAATTTTTTAAAAATATTTTATCAACATTTTTTTGTGATTATGTTTCTATTTTTCAGACATATTATCAAAGTTTAACTACTTTTGTCAGATAATTTTCTGAGATTCTATTTCTGTTGTTCCAGACACTCTGTTAAGATTTTTCAGATGTTTCTTGAACATTTTCCACAAACTTCAGGACGAGCATGGGCTTTGTGAATGAGCTTGAACTGAAATGACCTTGATCTCGATGCAGAGCGGTGGAGTGTGAGTTGGCTGGTGGATTCCTGGAGACGTCAGGTTTGGCAGACAGAGAGCACAGCCGCTGTAGATGTCCATCACTTTGTCACACCTCCAGGCTGATGAACACACAAACACAAAACATTTTCATCAAAGAAATCATCAGTAAACGTCGTTCCTGACACGATGAGCCTTCGTGGACGTTTAACATTAACGCTCACGTGTTTGAAGTATTTTTACCTTCACGGTTCTTTATAACGGATCTACAAGTGAAGTGTGTGATAGAACATTATTTACTCTGATTTAAGGCTTTGTGGAGTTTGGATTTGTTTGTTTTTTTTATTTGTGCAGGATTAAAACAGCGAAAAGAAAGATTTGGTCGTAGAGGTTTGATCATTTAAATCAGCTGCACAAAACTCTTTATGATGAATGTCAAGATCCAAAACAAAAATTTGATTTCTTTCCCACAATGAAGATCCAAACAGCTTCTTTCGAGTTATTTTTTTATCTTCTCTGCAGACGCACTCCTCTACAAAACCACAACAATCATTCTGGACATTTCCAAACAGTTGTTCAAATCAGCATAGAAAAAGAAAAACACCACGTTAGGTCTTCTTCTAACATTATGCAGCCCTACTTCCTTTCAGTGCTGATCTTTTTACATATCCAGAGCTTAACAAATGTATGAGGCCACCACCCAGTGTCGGGTTTATGCCGTAAATTAACAGCGCTGGTAAATCATTTCTGTAACGGTTCATACATCAGTATGTAGAAGCTCTTTAACCAAAGTGATATTTATGGATTAAGATGCTAAATTATAGTTTTTTTACTTGCATTCCTGAGCAAAAAAAAAAAGTAGTTTTAGTGGTTGAATGTTGATTAATTTCTGACTTCTCAGAGATCTGGGTGTAAAAAGGGTGAATTCAGTTTTAAATTCCTCCTTCCTGTTCAAAACGGTAAAATGTGGAGAGCTGAGTGACGTTAAAGCCCTTCATCAGAATCAGAAGCTTTTATTATTGCCAAGTGAGCTCGCACACGCAAGGACTTTGGCGAGGTGAACGAGACACGACAATAACAAGACAGGAACAAATATAGAAATCTAGATCTAAAGAAATTCTAAATATAATGTGTAAAAGAAAAGTATAAAAGTACTACGTAAATAAAAAGTACTATGAAAAGAGACATAAACCACGTAATAAATGAGGAAACGGTTTAAATTACAATACTGCACATGAAGTTGAGGAATTGCACATGTGATGGTTAATGCACAGAGGTAGTGCAACAGGAGTCTGCAGTGGTTTACTGACTGTTTCTGAGGGATATGGCCCGAGGGAAGAAGCTGCTCCGGTGCCAGGATGTTCAGGTGCATGACTGTGACGTACCAGTAATAGTCAGAATGTTTGATAAGTTTATTTAAAGGCATCAGCCATAAAAGACAACATGACGTCTGGTTGCATGAACAATCCCCAAATGTTCTCTCTGCTTTGCTTTTACTCACTTCTTCTAATATAACGATGTAAAGGTGCAATTATCCTTTTTTTTTTTTAATGTGTTAATGCATTTATTTGTGCGTCTTTTTCCACTGTTGCGTTAAAATCAAAACCATGAGCGTTGTACTTTGCAGACAGACGTATATCAGCCGCTTCCTTCAAGATTCATTTGGATGTTCCAGAAGAAGGAAAAGAAGTAACTGATGAACATTTCCGTCCTACCTGGTCTCTGATGTTGGACTTTGATTGAAAGTTGTCGCACAAACTCCAGAGGCAGTTTCACCACTTCCTGCAGAGAAAAACAAAGTCAGTCCGGTCTGTGAACGGAGCGAGTTTCTGCTTAGTTGCTTTTATAATTAGGGCTGCAATGAACAAACGTTTTCCACCGTTAACAAGCATTTTCTGGATTAATCGACGAGCAGTTTGGTCCCTAAATTGTCAGAAAATGGGGGAAAATATGGATCAGCGTTTCTCAAAGATGACAAACGTCCCGTTTTGTCCAAAACTATTCAGTTTGCTGGAAAGAAATCAGAAAATAACCACATTTTAGAAGCTGCAATTACAGAATTTAGACTTTTATCGTTAAAAAAACGACTGATTAATCAAATATAAAAGGAGTAGGCAATTAATTTAATAGCCGACAACTAATCAACTAATTCTTGCAGCTCTATTATTACACTAAATACTGATTTTATTTATTCCGGTGAACGTCTACGCACAGAGAAAACGTGTTGGAAACTGTAATTTGTGACAGTGCTCGAAACTTCAGAGAAAGCAAATAAATTCAGCTGTTCAATCTAAAATTAGGCCCCATCTGACCACGGAAATGATGCTCATGTGCTAGAAACCCTCCAGACTTGGACACTGTGGCTCAGTGTTTTCAGGAATTATTGCTTCGGTTTGTCACACGGCTCTGAAAGGATTTTGTGTTTCCATTAGAGACGCGAGTTTATTTTAAAACGGCATAACTTTCACATTTTTAAACGATCGTTTCAGGCCTCACAGTTGCCCGTCAAAGATATTTGATGGATATAATAGAAACTGTGGCTTCACTTTGCATTGAAGTCACTGTTTTTAATCAGTGGCTGAACAAAACTTAAATGTGAGTTTGGGCTGTTTTGTTTTCACAGCTGGTTAACACGTGTGACCTAAAAAAACTTCTGCAAATGTAAAGAAACGTAGCGTGAAACCAAAGGGCGGATGCATGTTCATTAGTCACGACCACAAGTTCATCAAACAGGGCGTGAAGGTAACATAAGTTCCCTACAACACGCCGTCTGCAGTCGTGTTGCATTGTGGGTCATTTAGGCACCAGGTTTAGTTAATTAAGAACGTGTATAATAAAAACGAACCCTTAACACGAGGCTAATGTTAAATCTACGGAGCCCTCTTGGTGTTTATGTCTTAAAACGAGATGAGATGTAAATCGGTCGACGGCGTCTCACCCCGCTGTGGATGAACTTCTCCCCCAGCAGGCTGCTCATGACGTTGGAGCTAAAGTCGACGATGTTCTGGATCTGCCTGAAGGCCTGCTCTGCAGTCTGGAGGACCAAAAAGAAAAAAAAAAAAACACATTCAATGTAAACAAAGAGTTATTTGTCTTATCTGAGCTCACACAGACTCGAGGGTGTCACAAAGTTTTGAAGGGATTCAAACTGGTTCGCTGTTTACCCACAGACGTTGGACAAACAGTCGAACGCTCAGAGCTTCTCAGATGAGATCAAGAAGAGAAGCGTCTCCTTTCTACACCCATGAACGGGATGAACGCTAGTCATAAGTACCGTCAGCAGCAACAAGAGAAGTCTGAGAATGTGCCATAGTTTCACTTAAATGCATCAAACTGTCATGAAAGCACTTAAGAAAAACACACAAAACGTTTCACCACAAGTGTGCATTGATAAAGAAATAGGCTACAGTGCGACAGACAGACAGACAGACAGACAGACAGACAGACAGATAGACAGATAGACAGATAGATAGATAGATAGATAGATAGATAGATAGATAGATAGATAGATGTCCATTATTGAGACCTTCCACTCGTGCATTTCACCGGAAAACAAAACAAGAAAACACAAGACTAGGCGAGCGGCGCCATCTTCAATCAGCCTCATTCAGGTGAAAGAAAGTTTAAACATGGAAACGGTCTTGTGGTTTTAAACTTCACTCTTAGATCTAAAAACACAGCAACCACAGGCAGTTAGCGTCAACCAGGACTGGAATCTGGTGCCACCTCATTACAGCCACCGACGACTACTGTCTGACAGGTGAGTCGATTCATCTACACAATTACAATTCCTCCAAAAAAGATAAACGAGCTTTTCATTAAGGCTCATCTTATCGTGACAAACTGCAGCACAGCATGAACATCCACAGGTGTTACCAACCCTGTGAAAACAGAGGCTCTACATACTATAGATAATTAACTGTTTACATATTTACAACTTCTAGACACTTTTCCTCTCTGCTCTGCTCATCAGCTGTAGAAGATGTTCCACCATGCTGAGTCCAACAACTGGCTCCTCTGTTCACTATTCCTGAGCCTTGCTGCTTTTATTTATTGATCCAGTAGGTTTTATTTTCCTCCCAATCTCACTCTAATTTCTTGACGTAAATCTGTCTTCTGTCCTCCATTTGTCCTGTGATGTGGTGTCACCGATAAGTCAGTACTGACTTCTGGGTTGTGGCTAGGAACAGAGTTTTTTTTTTTTTTTTGACAGATTTTGACAAAAATTTTAATTAGATCTCTAGATTTTGAAGAAATAACACGATTATAAGGCTCAGATTTGGTTGTCTTTCCCGAAAGTAACACAGGATTAGTTCAAGGATCTTGAAATCTGACAATTCAACATGTTTTTTTGAAGCTTCTCGCTATGATAAATGGTGTAACTTGAGCTTCTTTTTTTTTTTTTTAAAGATAACATAACTAACCTGGTTCAGTAAGTTACCTTCTTCACCAAACATCTAGACTCAAAGCTGAACTTGTAGTTGACTTCATAGCTCAGTAATGTCAGTTACTGATGGTTAAGGTACATGAGGACGAGCAGCAGTTACTGACACTGTATTTGAAACTCTGCTTTGTCAGTTTTCGACGTGACAGAACCTGCGATATCTCGTAATATCTAGTAATATAGAGTTAAGCAGGTAATACCGGTTTTGCCTCCTTCTGTGTGGACAAATAGTATTTAAACTACATCAGTTGTAGGCCATCAGCCCTCGCACCAGAACACTGTCATAGTGACAGCTGCTGACAGGGGATTTGCATGTTGGGGTCGGGCGGGGCCTCGCTTTGGATCAGGGATGACGAGGCGATCACCTGACCGCGATGTAAAACAGAGATCTGCTCCGCTGACTCTGAAGTTATCGGTATGTAAATGCTGCTGCCAGTGTTTCTACTGATAACAGGTACGACCTGGAGGTTAACTCACAGCCCGGGTCTGGATCCATCGGCCCGCTACACTCAGGTATGAACAGGAAGTCTTCCATCATGGAGCCCTAAAGACAGCTGTGGGTTGTTCACTATACAACTGGTCTAATGGTGTCACCTTTACCACATCTGGGACACACTTGGGGACACACTTGGGGACACACTTGGGGACACACTTGGGGACACACTTGGGGACACACCTGGGATATACACCTGGATATATACCTGGGATATACACCTGGGATATACACCTGAGATATACACCTGGGATATACCTGGAACACACTTGGGGACACACTATAGTCAGGTAAAGCTGTATTTTATGTAATTTCTGTACGGTTTTAATTGAGGCATTCAGGGAACGTCTGAAATTGTAGCGTCTACTGAGAGTCTGAGTCATTTTAGGAACATCTGTAAATTCTCAAATATTTGTCTGTCGATAATCCACATCTGAGGCATTTCAGGAACATTTGTAAATCAGATTATGTAAAAAAAATAAAATAAAATAAAATTCTGAGCTTTTCAGTGCAACCAAGAAGCCATTAGTAATTTAGCCGAGACCAACATGACAAAAATTCAGAGATTTCGGCTGAACTGCAGGCTGTGTTTACACAAAACGCTCCAAAAATAAAGATTCCACAATAAAACATATAAAATCTAACAAATACATCTTCTCTAATTCTGACCATTCCTTGGCTTCAGACACTCATAGTTACCTGTGGTGGGTTTTCAGAGTCCTCTGCAGGATACTTGAGGAGGCGTAGAACTCTGGAAAGCTGCAAGAACAGAACAGAGGCTCAGTTACGAGAAATTCAGGAACATCTCCGGCGGAACCCTCGGGCGGGCTGCAGCACTGATACAGTTTTCCCACAGTGCAACAGGAACACCAAGTGCAAACTGCAAAGCCTGGGGTGTGTCGGGCTAGCAACGCTAACAAAGGACTGTAAGCCTCCAAACATTTCCATCTGAATGCAAGTTCGGACGAGTGCCTCCATCTAAAGAACATCCAAGCACAATAATCTGCAATAACTGTTCTGATAAACGGCAATAACTACGTATTTTAGCCCGTGGCTGAGAGTAAAGAACATCCAGAGATAATGTTAACAAAGCAGACATCAGGAGGTTTTAGCAGTGATCATCAACACACACACACCACACATTGTTCAGTGAAATCATACAATACACACCAGCATTTACTGCATTATATCAACCTGCTGAAATTCACGTTTACACGCAGTAACTCGGCAGTGTGATCTTTCTTCTAACCAAATGTACATTTTCACACATATGCAGAATATTTTAGGTTCACTGGCGACACTGTTTTGGGACAGATGCTGCAGTTAAAAGACTCCTTAACCCTCTGAACCCCCAAAAACTCACCTAGAAAAGCTTGTTATCTTTTTAAAAACAAACTAAAAATAATAATAAATGACCCCGTTTGTGAGGGTCAGAAACTGTAAGAACACAATCGTTGGATATTCTACTTTCTGACAGTCCTTGAACAACTTAAAATCTTGATATTTGATCAAAATCAACGTATTCTACATCTTTAAAAACTTGCCATAAATAACCCATCTGCTATAACTAACTGTAAAAAGAAAAAAACGCAACTAGAAAACCTCAAATGACAAACATTTGGAGACTATTCGGCTGAACTTCAGGCAGTGTTTACACAGAGCAGAGAGGACACAAGTATGGACATAAATTAAAAACGTAAATAGTTAAATATCTATATATTGTTTTTCCAGTCTTAGCAACTCCTAAGGGCACTTGGGACAATACTGGACATGCTTCCAGGTTTGTTTGTTTTTTCGATTTTCGTGAATGAAATGACGGAAATTTAACTTTTTTTTTAAAGATTTATGTAATTCTAACGATGTTCCATTGACTTTACATGAGGAAAAATGTGACAGGAGCAAACCATGAGAGTGCTCCGAGGGCTCAGATTATAATCAGTGTTTTCTGTAAACGTGTGTCGGACAAAGAGGTCAGCAGGATTAAAGAAGAGCTCTTACTCACAATGAAACTACCAATACACCAATAAAAGTTGAATGCAGTTGGTTTCCCTTTTGCTAATCTTTAACCCTTTGAACCCTCAGAGGGTTAAAGATTAGTAAAACAGAAACCTACTACACTAAATGACCAATAAAATAATTGGTGATACACTAAATCCCCAATAAGAAGCCAACTACACTAAACTTTTAACGGTGATTTAATATCAGTTTCATTGTGAGTAAGAACTCATTTTATCCTGCTGCTCTGCTGACCTCTTTGTCCGACACACGTTTACAGAAAACACTGATTATAAACCTGATTACACGTGTAGCTGAGGAACAAATCCAGCTGAGAAAACCAGTCTTCTCCAGTTCAATACTCTACTTACAGAAACCAGACTTTTTACTTACATGGAGTTCAAGAAACCAGATTTGCAAATGAATACGTAAGAGCAGACAAATCCACTGCGTGAGTCAAGGATATTCAACATCATAAGCTTGCTAACAATGACCGGCGTGTATTTTCTTTACCACCCGACCCTGAACAGCAGCGATTATGTAAGAGGGGAGTGTGACAGAAGCCCCTTTCAGACAGGGGATACGTTACTGCCTCATCGAGCTGGTAACGTCATGACATTCAGACAAAAAGCCGTCGCTGTAACGCTATTCACAGCTTCAGTCAGACACAACAGTGAGGATATCTGGCGTAATAATGCACCAATAAACCAAAGAGTGAATGTAAATCCGATATGTAAGAATGCCATAAATGCAGCTAATGTACGGTGACTGCTCATCTAGGTTAATTCATAAGTAATTAATAAAGTTCCTTTTTGTGTTTCACTTGCTTTGGAGATGCTCGCTGCAGGTATTTAATAAACTCACAGGAAAAACTCCTTTAAACAGCTGGAAGCAACAAACTAAACTCCAGCACCTAAATCTGAAATATATTCATTAATAGTGAGTCTCATTAATCTGATCTGTTACAGACACGGTAAGGTTTGATTTTTGTGGACATTTCAGTTTGTAATATGTCGGGGAAAGTGTTTTTTAACAACTTATCTCTGTGCATCAAAATTAAATAGCTAGAAGGGTTTTTTTTTTTTAATGAAAATAACCCCAACCTGCTTTAAAATGTCTGATATGTAACTCTACATTGTTGTAAACTCTACACAATCGCAAAGTCCAACTCTGATCGATGTCAGAGTGTGAAGGAATGGAAGTGTTTCAGATAATCACAGAGCAAAAAAAAAAAGGCAGTTTGTCCACCTGTGCAAAGTTTTCTCTGTAAAACTACAAAAGTACCGACACCTGACTAGAAAACACACAAACCACTTTACACCCGTTAGCTTTCGTTCCTGCTCTTTGTGCTCACGAGAACGTTTTAACTTCGTCCCACAAACTCGCCAAATGCAGGAGTTAAAAACAAGAGCTGTGCTGATAGTTCGGACGTATTTAAAGAGAATTCAGAGTATTCAAAGCTGCTACCAAAGTCAGAAAACAACAAGGAAAAAGTTGTGTTAGCTGCTCTGTGCTGTGAAGTGCCCACCGTGTCCATGCTGATGTTTGCTTAATATGCAGAATAAACTTTTTCACTTTGCAAAAGACTTTAATTTCTTTTGGAGTCGAACTTAAATCATAAAACCTCCTTATCTATTTTGTATCATGTTGGCAAGAACTTTATTTCCATTTCATACTGTGTGACACATAATATGCTGACAGACAGGTTATCACAGTAAAAATAACTCAGAGCAAACTGTCATTCTGCTTTTTTGGACAAACACTGGGGGTTTCCATTAACCGACTAAACTGCAAAACAGCCGATAAATTAATCAATGGAAATATTAGTGGCAGCCCCTGGAAAAAGACGGGACTTATTTGTTGGAGACCCTGTTTGTCATCAGAACACTGCAGTTTCAAGGCAGAGATGCTCGTTTTGTTCTAACACTGGGGGTTAAAAAAAAAAAAACAACATGTGGGGAAAAAAATAGATTTCACTGGGCGAGGTCCTCCAAACATCATTTTACCCATTCTGGACTGTGTTTAAGTTGGCAGTGACAAAGCGTCACACTGTTTTTTTGTTTTTTTTTTAAGGAATGTGGTGGGGGGAAAAAATAGGGCTGAAACCCAGGTGTGGTGTGAGCGCTGACATTTTTCAAACAGCACACATGACAAAAACTTGAATGACTGGTGCTGCTCATTCCACTCGCGGTTAGAAAACAGTCACTCGTTGTCTTTTTTGTTAACTTTACAAGTACTAATGAAGCTCGTCAGCTGCTGAGCCCATTTCAACACTCCACATTGATTCATGACCTCATGACACATCGGCGGTTGCTCAACCACAACATGCTCGGACTGGTGCCGTGAATGAGGGTTTCCCACAGTGTGAGGGGCACGTCCCTGAACGCGTCACCCTGCCCTGGTCACTTTACCTGCGTGGAAATGAACTTGGCACGCCGGCTTCGTGCGCAGCTAACCGGCGGAGCCCGGCAGGCAGCAGCCCACTAAAGTGTTTCTGGGGCCGCGTCTACTTCAGCAGCTGCCGGGTGGAGAATCTGGGGAAGCTGCTAGCGGCTAAATTAGCTCCGGAGCTTTCTGTCATTTATGTCCGAACGCCGCAAAGTCAACGCGTGACTCTGGCCGGACATGAATCTATGTTGAATTTCTTATCGCTGCTGGGTTTTTCAGCGACTCTGTTCCCGTGAAACAATCTTTTTTCATTGCTTTGACTCATCTGAGCAGCTAGCCGTCGGCTAACCCGGCTAAAGCTAGCAAACACAGGCTAACGGTGATAAACACAATCCTGGCAGTTGACATTTCACTCTTCGCTTTCCAAACATTTACCACAAAGTTTAAAACGGCACCAGCGCCGAGTTGAAGCTGATTTAACGTCGGGAAAGTGTGTGGCCGGTGGCGGGTACAGCTGGACTCACACTGCCCCCCCTCACCCTCCCCGGCTTTAGCAGAACTTGGGGGTTAGCTCCGTGCTAGGCTAGCTGACTCACCTGTACGTGAGAGACCACCAGGCTCTTGTTGCCCTCTCCGTGATACTTCCAGTCGTTTTCGTCCATTTTGTCCAGTTCCATCACACCGGCGGCGACTAGCTGAGCTCCCGTCAACGGCCAGAAAGCGACACACAACGGCACGGCAACATACAAGTGCTGCGACCGGAGCTGCCGGCCGTTAGCAGGAATTTAGGAGAACTACAGCGGGACAGACCGAACTGCTGCTGCCGCCGCCGCTGCTAGTTCTGCCGCTCCTGCCGCCCGGGCGTCAAATCCGCCGACCGCGCTGCTACTTCCGAGTGTAGCTTCAAAATAAGAGTCCACTGAAACGGACAATAATATTCATTGAGCTAAAAAAAATTGTATGTACTTAGGAATAAAGTCTTGCTTTTGAAAAAGGCGCAGTTCAGCAGAAGGCACCTTTGGCTGTCAAAGAAGTTTCACCTTCATCCAAGAGGCGTCCTCACTTCTGTCTAGTGAGTTGCAGGTGTTTATTCTAACCCACACTTCCAAATTACATGGTACTATCACTGACGCAACACTGACGTACTTCAGGTGTGAACAGTTATGAAACTGCCAGGTGAGGAATGATTCAAGTTGTGCTGAAACATCCTAAGCACCTGATAAGTGGTGTCGTCGACCCCCTCCATAATCCCCCTATAATCATTAAATTACATGTGAAGAATAATGCTCATAACAGTCTGTCATAACTGTTCTGATAAATGGCAATAACTACGTATTTTAGCCTGGCTGAGAGTAAAGAACATCCAGAGATAATGTTAACAAAACAGACATCAGGAGATTTTAGCAGCGATCATCAACACACACACAAACACACATTGTTCAGTGAAATCATACAATACACACCAGCATTTACTGCATTATATCAACCTGCTGAAATTCACATTTACACGCAGTAACTCGGCAGTCAGATCTTTCTTCGAACCAAATGTACATTTTTAAGTCCACTGGTGACACTGTTTTTGGACAGATGCTGCAGTAAAAAAGATTCCTTAACCCTCTGAACCCCCAAAACACACCTAGAAAAGCTTGTTATCTTTTTAAAAACAAACTAAAAATGTTTTAAAAACACCAAAATGACCCGTTTGTGAGGGTCAGAAACTGTAAGAACACAATCGTTGGATATTCTACTTTCTGACAGTCTTTCGACAACTTAAAATCTTGACATTTGATCAAAATCAACGTATTCTACATCTTTAAAAATGCCCCATAAATAACCCATTTGCTATAACTAACTGTAAAAAGAAAAAAGAAAACCGCAACCAACAGGCAATTCTATGTTCCACTGATTTTAAATGAGGAAAAATGTGACCGGAGCAAACAATAAGAGTGGTCCGAGGGTTAAAGATCAGTAAAATAGAAACCAACTACAATAAACTTTTATTAGGGATTTAATATCAGTTTCATTGTGAGTAAGAACTCTTCTTTTGTCCCGCTGCTCTGCTGACCTCTTTGTCCGATAACATTGATTATAAACCCGATTAACTGAGGAACAAATCTTTACAAAAGAACACTAAATATGTCTTTAATTGATTAATGCAATATAATGCCTTGTTTCTTTTTGTCAATGTGTACCCAGAGGAAAACTCTATCAGGAATCAGAACAACTAAATCACCACAGAATATTTGTCTGATTTAGTTTTTACTGCCACCTGCTCAACTTTTTCCCTAAAGCTTGTGAATTCATCGCTCTTATTTTGAAGCTCCCTCTCTCTTCCTGCTGCAGCGGCTCAGCTTGAGTCGCTCTCTGATTGGCAGTTTGATGAGCCAATCCCTGTTGCTGCTGCCCCGCCTGCTCTGCTGTGATTGGTCGGCGCAGGGCTGGGCAGGTGGGACGGAGGGGGGGCGAACAACAACCTCCACACTCAGAATGACGAACGACGACAGAGGAGGCAGGAATAGAAGCGTACACTCTAAAAAAGATGATGTTTGGGCTCATCAATAAAAAATTACCGCAACAGTTTGAGTTCAAACAAATTCTGACGAAATTATGTTGAACTAACAAACTGCATTAAGTTTGGACAATTAGCCACAGTCACGGTAATACTTTTTAATTTAACGATTGGCAGCATAAACACAAGTTTTAAAGCTAATTTCTATTTAAATTAAAATGTTCCGACTAGAATTTCCACGTTATTTAAAGTAGAATTTTATGTTCTATTTTTTTTTTTATTTCAGTTTTTAGGTTGACAAACACCAGAAATCATTAAAAAACAATAATAATTTCATATTTATTTGACAAAAAAATAAAATAAAATCCTGATGTTTACAGGTGTTACCAAGACTAGAGAACAAAATTGGTTCTTCATACTACATGTATTTACTCCTTTTTTAAAAGTTTTTATACTTCTACAGCTCTTTATAAACATAAAAGCTCCAGAATTTTTTGTTTTGTGACAGCTGGTCACAGCTGAGTTGCTAATTAGCTCAGGGTTTTTGTTTTTTACAGAACCTGGTTGGAGCAAACATTCTATTTTTGGCACATTATTGAGTGAAACGTGTAGAATAAGAAGGTTTGGGTCATTTTTCTAACAAGCAGAAAGTAACACGTGATAAGTCCAAGGACCATTGGAGAGTCCAATGGTCTTGCAAAGAGACACAAAACAACAGAAATGTGAAAATAAATAAGTAAGCTTCCAAGTATTTTGCTTCATTTTGTCGCTGTGTTACAGAAGGAGGTTTTAGATATATTTCCGTCTTTTTATCACTACATAAATTCAGTGATACTGACTGTCAAACTAACGGTGCGTGAAAAAACAATGCATTTGCCATCGTGTCTCACTTCAAGGCTGAAACACCAGCTGTACACAAAAGTTTGATTCTGTGTTTCATTGCACCCCTTGAGCCGTTTCATTTCACACATGCAGCTACTTCAACGTGTTATTTAGTGACCTGGAACTTGCTGCCATCTGAGCCTGAGGAGCAGCTGGACAGAGTGCCAGCAGGCGCTTATTTCGCTGTGGTGACGTCAGTTCAAGGTTGGATTTCAGCCCTGACAGAGTCAATGCTGAGGAGGCGTCCTTGTTTCAGGACACAGACAAACAGGCCTGCACATGCTACAGAAAACGGTTTGGAAAAAGGAGGAGGCTTCAGCAAAAAAGTTCTTGCGACACTAAAAGGAATTTTGATCTTTTAACTGCATGGTTGGTACCTCAATAAAAGTGACGTAACTTCTGTCTTGTAGATTGTAAGACAGAATACTTGTGTTTATCATAACAAGGAATCAGAACTAGGGCTGCAAGGTGGCGCAGTTGGTTAGCACTGTTACCTCAAAGCAAGAAGGTCACTGGTTCACGTCCTGGTGGGGATGTTTCTGCGTGGAGTCTCCCCGTGCAGCGTGGGTTCTCCCTGGGTTCTCCGGCTTCCTCCCACACAGTCCAAAAACATGTTGAGGTTAATTGGTGATTCTAAATTGTCCGTAGGTGTGAATGTGAGTGTGCTTGGTTGTCTGTCTCTAAGTGTAGCCCTGTGATAGACCTGTGATAGGTGACCTGTCCAGGGTGTCCCCTGCCTTCGCCCTAAGTTGGCTGGGATAGACTCCAGCCCCCCATGACCCTAGTGAGGATTAAGGTGTATAGATAATGGATGGATGGATGGAATCAGAACTAATATTCAATTCTCAAAAAAATCCAAAATTATGAGAGCACTTCAAAAAGTTCTTGGCTTCACCCGGAAACAAGGGGCGTAACTCCCACGTTGGGGCACAACTGTACACTATACGACCTTGTATCGCTGTCCGCAAAAACTTCAAAGCATGTTTCCTGGTCCAATACTGACATAAGACATGTTTCAAGATATAAATGTTTATGAACCTGCCAAGTGAGGAATTATTCAAGTTGTAGTGAAACAAGCTGGGAATGGATCTAAATACTGCATCATATGTACCTGATAAGTGGTGTGTTCAAGGCCCCCCCATTTTGCCATGGAGGAGCATTAAGGAAGCCATCTATGAGGGTACTTTAAAAAGTTCTCACCTGATCAAAATTCCAGTGTGGGCCAGGTTGGTGTCAAGATTCTGATTCTGAAATTGAACTTTCAGAACTGACTGAACTGGTTTTGTCCCACAAAAACAAGCATATTGGTAGACTTTGGAACTGAAATGTTTTCCCAACAGAACACAAAACAGAGAATCCATTTTTATGCTGTCAAACAGCGTCCATAATGATCCTGAGAATGATTTTACCACTAAAGTCCTGCTCACATAAGTACATCAGATTACTGCTAAACATATGTCAACCTAATGACCTAATACAGGCAAAATTCACAAGACAAGTCTCCTCTAAACCAAACCGAGGTTTATGTGTACAAAGTGGATCTGAAAACAAAATAAATAACCATATTAAAAAGTTATTGTTTCCTAGTTATATTTGGAGAACCACTTTTAAACTCCAGAACTGTGCTTGGACTAGACTATCTACTATTATTATTGTTTTCGTGGAACAACTGATCACCTGCCCAGTGAAACATAACGTTTTTCCTTTTGGTGACCACGTGTTTTATATTAAAAAGCTATTCTATATGTTCTGTTTTAGTGTGACCTGCAGCTACATGTGGTTCTGAAAATATCACACGCTGACTTCTGCATTGTCAATGTTTTGGTTATTGTGTTTAAAAAAAATGTGACTTTTCACCACAGCTTCAATTTTTTTCATCTTTCAACTCACCCGTAGTCAGAGATGATTTGATCTACTTGTCCAGTATTGCACATTCAGCGTCAATGACATGAAGATAAATGAAAATGTCAGGCTTTTATCTTTAATAGTTCCAGAGATATTGTTGTTCAAAACACCTCAAATTTTAATGTAAAAATTAATTTCGAAAAGTATTTCCTAACAATTTCCCTGAGGTACCCTACCAAAGGGATCAATAAAGTTAGACAATCTAATCTATTAGTCTAAAATCTCAGAAACATCTTTATAAATATTCATATTTTATGCTATGAAAATATAAAAATTGCTGATTTGAGGTGGAATGACCCCACTGTGGGGCAACAGATCTGAAAGATTCAACCTCAAGAGCTTCTTTGTGAGCTGTAAAAAACAAATAAATCAATAGGTAATGTTCAGAACAGCGTCAAAGGAGACAACAATCTGGTCAACAGCGCCGCCTGCAGGCCGAATAGGACACCTACAGGCTGGAGACGAAAGATTACTGTACTGAACTCTGAACTATAAAGGACTCGTTCTTCTGTGTGGACGATTCTAGGTTTCTATTTGTGTAGGAGGACATTTCCTTAAAAAAAAAAAAAAAAAAGGACAGCAACAATAGCTTTCAAGAGAAGGAATAAAACATCTTTTCATGCAACAGACAGCCTGAAAATACCACATTGGAAACGAATTATGTGAAATTTAAGG